TAGTTCGAGTTTAACTTCCGAGTGTTTTAATAGAGCATCCCACGACAATCCGGGTGCGGTAAAATAATTGGCTGGATCTAGCCCGTAGTTTGTAATACACGTTCTTCTAAAGTTTTCAAATACACCTGCAAGTAATAACGTATCGGTAGTCACGTACAAGTCGTGATATTCTCCTAGATTGTGTATATTAAACTCGTTCCACACGCGTTGAGCTCTGTCGTAGTCTTGTTGCGATATATGTTCGTCTTTTAGTCTGCTATAAAACTTGCCGATGGGTGGTAGGCTGGTCTCTTGAAACTTATCAAACGAGTTCATATATTCGTACGGATAAACTCCTTTTTGTAATAGCGAGTCAGGATGTTTAAAATGCTTTTTGAGTAGCTGAAACGACTCTTTTGGACAAGCTTTCACTAATTTATCCAACGATGATGCCATAAAACTAAACGAGTCTAAAAATCGTAGATTTCCTATCGAAAACGAAATATACTTTTCTGAATTTTTAGCGATCACTTGTATTTCTGTTTGGCTACCGTACTCTGAAATACTCTGCATGATCAAGTGAGCGTCGTAATTTTGTAAATTGTGAAAAAAGACCGGTATCGGTGTACAACCGGGTTTAATTTGTAGTTTGAGGTTACAATAAGCGTGTGCGGCACCCCTATATTTACCAGTGACGTGACAGTGATCTCTCACCTTTCTAAATTTATTAATGCTCTTTTTGCAGTCGAGACATTTAGACTCGATAAATCCCTTACTATTTTTGTACTGATATTCTTTCTTTTGTTTTATCGTCTTGGGTTCTCTGGGCTTCTGGCACTGACAGTTGCTCGAGTAATTGGGATAAATTGGTTTTTCACAAATCCAACACGCGTTTGTTTTATCATGATGGTCTTTAGCTCGCTCGTTAAATTTCATGGTTTGGGGTTTTTCAAATATGCAATTAATATCGCTTTGTAATTGTAACAACGTCGTTATAAATCTAGTTGAAGCGTCTTTGCCTCTATAAGTCTCTTGATACACATTTTTAGCGTCGCATCGAACTACAACTAGCGAATAACCGCTAGCTTTGTGAACGTTAATCTTTTTTGTGTTTGTCTCTTTGTCTGAGTGAGTAGGTTTAGATGTTAGTGTCTGTGTGGGTGTTGTTGTTTGTAGTATGGATTCAAAGTCAGCATAAATGACAAATGGTGCTTTTTGTTTGTGCCTATAGTTTTTAAATTCTAATATCGGTACGTCTCTTTCGCCTGGTTGCCCGTCTATGTATTTTGGTTTACCCATAGGAAATACAATCTTTGATGGATGCGCATCTATACCCTTACAATCGGCGATATGTCTGTCTAATTTGTTTTGATTGGTAAAATGACATAGACATCTTCGACAAAAATATTTCTTACATTTATGTTTCGTAACGTCGTACATCAACCTCGTAAAATATTTTATCCAACAATAGTGATGCTTGTCACCTTTAGAAATCAAAAGCAGATCAATCTCTCGTGACCCATAGTTTTTAGACACGTATAATGGATATATCTCACCCTCATAACCGTATACGTTTATCGATAAATTATTTTGTCTTTCTATCTTGGGTATCTGATCGACCGGTGTCGGAAAGTCAACGCCTTTAAAACTGAGTCCGTCGTCTTTGGTGTAAATCGACGGTCTGCTTTCGTTGATTTTATATTTAGGATTATTTCTTATTTGATTTTTTACTTTGTCTGTGTATAACCCCAAGGCAGATCTCAAACACCATCTCAAACACTCGTTGTCTTTGTTTTGTACGTTGATCATCGCCTGTTTAATTTTAAGATGTTCGGGTAGGTTTATGTAAGAACTACCTCTCGCTGGATTATATCTGTTGATGTTGATGTATAACGCGAGTATTGTATCGACTGCCCAACCCGATCCTTGATTCGTATACCTTTCATCCTTTCTAAATATCTGGTCGATCTCTTCTTTTAAAGCCTGTTTTATTTGACTTTGATTTAAAACGGCTTTTGGCTTGCTATAATGAATAGCTTCGATCGTTTCGATCGTACCATCCGGTTTGGTTTTTTCATATTTTATTTTGATTGTGAGCTCCATTTTTAAACCTCTCAGCTCTCTCAATTCTGACTTGATTTTATTGACTATTTGTTCCTTGTGCGAATCAAAAAACTTGATTAAATCATGGTTATAAAGTCTGGGGTTTAATTCCCAGTTTCTGTAATAATTTCTAAACCTTCTCGTTTCTCTAAAAGCTGACTCTGTAAAGTATTCGGGTTGTCTGTATGTTTTAATCGCCGAGATTAAATCTTTTTTCAAAACTCGTCCTTTATAACCCGTCGGTACGTATTCTAGATTGTGTTCGTCTACAATCTGTTTGAGCTCATAAAGTTTCTTTTTCCTCAAGTTTTTAAATTTACTTTCATAATGTTTTATCCCCTCGATGTAAACTTTACGAGTAAGAGAAACATTTTCATTGTGCGGTATATTATACCGCTGCACGTAATCACGCAGCGTGGCTTTGTTCCATTTAGAATATCCTTTGACGGTCGGTCTGAACATATTACTCTCCATTTATTATAGGAAATATAATATATTTTTTTTTTTCTCATTTTTTTTGGAGGGCGATCAATTATTTCATAATCCATGAGAGCTTGACTGTAGTAAAAATTCCCAAGGTCACGTGGTGGTGACTCACACATTTTTCAAGGTCGCGTTGTTTACGCCAAATTTCTATCGTGCCTCAACACGTTTCAAGGTCACGTGGTGGTGACTCACATATTTTTCAAGGTCACGTGGTGGTGACATCACCTCATTTTAGCGATGACAGATTTTTTTTTTTTTTTCTCTCTCTCTCTCGGCGTCAGTTTTTTTTTTTTTTTTTTTTTTTTTTTTTTTTTTTTTTTTTTTTTCCCAGCGTCAGATATTTTTTTTTTTTTTCTCTCTCTCTCTCTCTCTCTCCCGACGTCAGATTTTTTTTTTTTTTTTTTTTTTTTTTTTTTTTTTTTTTTTTGCTCTCTCTCTCTCTCTCTCCCGGCGTCAGATTTTTTTTTTTTTTTTTTTTTTTCTCTCACACCCGGCGTCAGTTTTTTTTTTTTTTTTTTTTTTTTTTTTCTCCCCCACACCCGGCGTCAGATTTTTTTTTTTTTTTTTTTTTTTTTTTTTTTTTTTTTTTCTCCCAGCGTCAGATATTTTTTTTTTTTTTCTCTCTCTCTCTCTCTCTCTCCCGACGTCAGATTTTTTTTTTTTTTTTCTCTCTCTCCCAAACCCGGCGTCAGATTTTTTTTTTTTTTTTTTTTTTTTTTTTTTTCTCCCCCACACCCGGCGTCAGATTTTTTTTTTTTGAGATCGGGGGATTCCCCTATATTTTTCCCCAACTATTTTTAGAATCGAGAGCGGCGTGCTCAGGCTTGCCGCAGATTTTTTCCATTTTGCTCCGGTTCCCCCACCTCCCCTACTACTGCAATACAATAGAATCCACTGTTGCACGTGGTTGCATTTACTTAGCAGGGTAACTGCTTGGTATCAAGGCTGGTATGCACTGGGTTTGCACAATGCAACAAAATCCACTGTTGCAATTTGTTTCAAAAAGTCCCCAAAAATGAATAGTGCTAGAACTACCAAACAGATGGGTGCCTTCTAGTTCTGGAAGTAGGCAGCACTGTCTTCCTACTAGTACTAGTACTATTTAATGTCACAGCCTGAGATTCAGCCCGCGGTTCAGCCCGGTGCGGATCAGCACCGCGATTAGGCCCTAACTGTTATGGATGACACCCCAAAGCACAGAGTTAATATTCGTTCATGTGTGCAGAGAGGAGCCTTGCTGATTTCCTTCAACCTCCTGCAGCTGCTAGCTGCACACGGGACGAAAGAAAAATTTTAAGTTTTTATGTTGAGCCCCCCAAAAAAACACTTAGGCCAGAAAGTACATGTATATGCCTATGGCAATTTATGGGGATTTTCTAAAGAAAAAATGACAAATCCTGGACAAATTGTAGCTTGAGTAACTCCAGCTAATGTTCATCGGGAATTTGACATACATATAGAGCTGGAAGTAAGCGTATTACTAAGCTTATGTTTTCATAGGTCGAACAATGGCGGAGTCCCTAAAAAAAAACGGGCGATCGTGTAGTGTAGGGCCCCTGTTTTGTTTCGATCAAATGAGCATCAAGAGTGTTTTTTTATTACTCAAATATGACATTTTCAACCTAAAGCAGACTTCTCTCAATATAAGGACACCTATTTTGTAATTTTTGAACAGTTTCTTGGGTTGGAAATAACAATTTTCCTACGCGGTTAACAGTTGGTGCCGTGCGATTCAGCGCGCCTTGCACGCTCACGGTACATCGCACAGTGCCGCCATTTTTATTTTCGTGTTGCGTTTTGTCGTTGTCATCGTTGTTTTACCCCCAAATTTCCCTCAAAATTTCAAAACCCTAGTTTGGTAGGTCAAATAATTTGAAAGTGGATGTTGTTCCCTTATGAACATGCCGGGCCCACAGATACACGATTGCCAAAAAGCGGACTCCCCTGTTATTCCAACCCAGATGACATAAAAAATGTACCTCATCATAGTCAGACATACATGATACCGTGCAACAGTCATTCACGAAGAAACAGAACTAACAACAGTTAATACTATATGAAAAATGTTGATGATTTTGAATGGTGGGTTGTGCAGTCCATCATAATATCAGTAAAAAGGTCCATAGGGGCATACCTTCAACATCTGTTCACACCCCCCTCCCAATAACATGCCCCACCCCTTCCCCCCAGTTACTGTTATACTGGATTCGTCGATCCTGCATGCACAAGCACAGTGGCAATGCAATTGCATAATGTGCAATCATGGTGCAATGAAATATGAACATGAAATGAATGTCTTTCCAAAAGTATCCTAAGTTCAACAATTTTAACAAACTGTGGAGCTTATCTCTTCGTTAAAAGAGTCTTCTTACCTAAACATATCTATCTCGAAAACACAATTTACTTTACGTTAAATGATGATTTATACGTACCGTTCGTGACCGTGCAATCGGCAACCGGCGAACAACCACAGTCTATCTAGTCGGCTCTCGAGCTCTCGTACGCGTAACACGCGAACACGTGTGTAAGACACGAGCAACGATCCCCTGACTTATTTAACGAGAATTCCTTTATCTTGCGAGATTGGGTATCAGCTCAAATTTTGTTGAATTAAATTTCCGAGTTGACCGCCTGGGAACCAGACTGCACCTGCGCCTTTCATAATAATTCAAAAACGCTGTAGAGTTACAAAAGAATTAAAAAAATTAATGTGGCCTGACGTTGCGAACTTGGCAAGTTCTTCTTCAGAGGCTAAAACAGAAAAAGAGTTACCGTGAAAGACGCGGACGTGACCTGGTGGAAAAAGTCAACCTGCGACGGGGAAAAATCGATGGTTCGATTCAGTCGAATTCCGAATTCCAATTTATTGTTTTATTTTCTATTACATGTACACTATTAATATTATTACATTGTTTTACAATTATCAAAAGGTGAAATTGAGGGGATGGGTATATTATTGGATCAGTTACTAAAATAAAAGCCAGGTTTTTTTTTAAAGTTTTTGTGTATTTAAATCACATCACGATGGCACCAGGCCTCCTCTTTAATTTCTCCCCCAATTTATTTAGCTTGAATAGCTTTCTCGTTAGGGCTAGGGCAGTGGCGGTTCTAGGGGGGGGGGGGGGGGGGGCCTGGGGGCTTTAGTCCCCCCCCAAAAAAAAAATCTTGTCTAGGCCCCCTCAAAAAAAAATTCAATAAAGCTCGAAGTAGAGCAATTCTAGTAAGCAACAGGGGCCAAGATGTTAGCCCAATCATAGAGCAAGGCCCAATGTACACAAAATCGATCACCACGCGGAACATAGAAATTAAATTGTCAATAAACAAAACAAGCAACCACCGTTTGTTTCAAGATTCTTTTAACTCAATTAAACTAAAGCCCGCATCTTGTTCTCCCCGGCCTCCGAGCTTTAATAGCTCCATGTCGTAAGCTTGTTATGGACACACGTTTGATAACTTTTTCAGACTTGAATCAAGTCTAACTACAAACATTTCGGTGGGGCAGTCACGAAGCAAGACTACTTACGCTCGAGAAACTTCCAATGACCCACGTGTGATAAGCGCCAGCTAGCTGCGCTGCATGCATGCGGCATGTCCCTGATGTAATATCGTGGTGAGACCGTGCCGGCCGTGGGTATAGTTTGCTGTTGTACTTTCAACCAAACCTCAGGTAAAAACCTCAGATTTGTGAAATATTTGTGTTGTTAATGTTCTTCAAAAAGACACTTTAGTGTTCATACATGTTAATTTGACGATTTTCAAAATGTTAACTTTACGAGCAACTATTTAAGGGAATAAATGTGTGCTTTGCAGGTTTTATTAATCACTCTCTGTAGGCCCCTAGTCTGTTTTTAAAACCGCTTGGACATGTTGGAGTCTGGGCATGCTGGGTGATATGACCGTTAAAAATGCACTGATTGTGAATGTGAATGTTATTTTGGAGCAACTATAGAATGCAGGGCCACGCCGGAGCAAGGTTTTTTAATTTGCTTGGAGGCGTGGATGGATAGGAGTAATTAGTAATAGATATGCAAAGCTGCAAAAAGTGCTAAGTACAGCGAATGAACTTGTCTTCTAAGCTTCTCATGAAGGATGGGAAGGGAGGGCGTGCTTGTAAATGTGTTGGGGGCACGGTACGGATCGGAGGCGCGGAGTCGTGGAGTTGCAGAGTCTAATTGCGGAGACGCGGGGCACTGGAGTGGCGGAGGCGCGGAGTCGCAGAGACTCGCGCCGATAGAGGGCGCAATTCTCGGCGGAATTTTTTTGAGAACAAAGCATCCGTATCCATTTTAAATGGGCTCGCAAATTAGGAAGGGAGGAGGGCGAGGGGGCACTGTCCGGAGTGGCGGAGGCGCGGAGTCGTGGAGTCGCAGAGTCTAGTCGCAGAGACGCGGGGCACTGGAGTGGCGGAGGTGCGGAGTCGCAGAGACGCGCACCGATAGAGGGCGCAATTCTCGGAGATATCGACTGCGGCTCCACGACTCCACGATCGATTTTCGGAGCTAGGTCGACTGTAGCCCCATAATGTGGCCAGTTTACTGGACTGCCTCCGTAAACATAGGCCACACGTCCACCATCTTGGAATCTGACTCGCCGAAATTTTGAAAGTGATTTCCACATTGCGACTTCAAACACAGTTCATTTATGCTTTAAAAATACACTTACCCTCTTAATAACAAAATTAGAACCTGCTGCCAGTGTCAGTTGCCCAGCTGCTGCGTAATTTATGACATTTTCTGGATCCTTCTTGGCAACTTGGTCCAACCATGGAGCTATCTCCATGGTCCAACTGAACAATGCCCTCGCGCAGATCGTTCACCTGTCAATCACGCGTGCAGGACGCACGCCGCAGGCCCAGTGGTAGTCCGGTTCCCAGACCAAAAGATTCTGACTATTCCTGATCCAGGAATAGTCAGAATCTTTTGGTCTGGGAACCGGACTACCACTGGGCCTGCGGCGTGCGTCCTGCACACGTCAATCACGCTGCCCACTGACCCCAGCCTCAATCCAAGGCTCCAAGTACATAAAAAAAACCCTTGCTCTGGCGTGGCCTAGCCCAGGTGGACTCCCTTTCATCCCTACGTAACGGAGGGAGTCCAGGGTATAAAGTGCTCAAAACCAGGCGAAAAAATTTATGACCAGTATTTTCAATATTTTTACCTTGTTGGAGAAGCTAATTTTTACGTCGTAGTATTCTATGTAGTCTTATCTATTGGGCCGCTGGGTTCAGAAATTCCATATGCGATGTTGACCGACCTTAATCTGGAAAATAAACTTGAAAGCAACGTTAAACTTGTACGTGTTTGTAGACTCTTTTTATCAGTTTCTCACCGCCGAGTCTATTCTAGTCGTACATGATGTACGTCTATGCAGCGTGTAGTCTGGTTCCCTAGATATAGACCGGACAATTATTCTCGACGCTCATATCACGTCTGGTCCGGGGGCCAGACTATGCAGCATGAATATGCAGTGCGCACGCGCGATTTGCTTAGTAACCACCCTCGTACGCACGCGCACTTACTTGAAGGCGCGGTCACTAATCCAATGACCGAGCGTGTTTTCGCGCCAGTTACCAGAAACACGTTTCGGCTTTGGTCATTTGTTGAGCGTTTTCGCGACATCGGTTGGCTGGAGTGAAGTCACGGTTCCAACCAAAACTAAACAAATGAGGGCACTAGCGTGCGTGCGCGCTTTCGTACGTACGCACGTACATGTACATGACGTACGACTCTGGGAATAAACTGACGAAAAGAGACTACAAACACGTACAAGTTTAACGTTGCTTTAGAGTTTATTTTCCTGATTAATGTCGGTCAGCATCACATATGGAATTCCTGAACCCAGCGGCCCAATAGGTAAGGACACATAGAAAATGTAGGCGTGAAATAAGCTTCTGTAACGAGGTAAAACGTAACAAAAATCTGGTCCAAATTTTGGGTGGTCTTATGAAGAGAATTCTCATCCTGGACGTTAGTCGTAATGCAATGAAGACTTCGTCCAACCTGGGCTATGGCGTGGCCCTGCATTCTATAGTTACTCCAGCTCATGCATTGGCAACTGGGCAAGGGAGAGACTTAGCATGCTTAGAGCAAGGTATTCCAAGCTACTTCAGTGTAGTCAGTAGGTATGGTAGCCTAGACCTTTTTTATAATCATTTGTCCATTTGGAACTGAATAAATACAGAATTTATTAATCGTTGTCATGGGGGTTTTTTGTTGAGGGGGGAGTCTTTTTTTTTTTAATTGTAGGCCTAGCATGTGTAGTTTCGACTTCGAAACAAGTTTCTAAAAATTAAGGCTCAGCTCAGGAGATTGGCAAACATCTAATAATATTGATGTCTTTCACTCCATATACATGTACATATGTAATGTACTGGGAGGTTTTCTACAGTTGTTTAGTTTATATCAATTATCATGTTTATGTGAACTGCAAGTCAACTGATGTATCTTCAGCTGCAAGAAGCATAGACCTCGGGGGGGGGGGGGGGGGGGGGTGCATCTCCCTCCCCCTTTCATGCCTTTAGAACCCCCCCCCCTTGAAACCACCCCCACCCACCTACCAGCACACCCCCTCTCCCTCAGCACTTTCTCTAGTATTAACTTTTCTTCAAAGATTTAATTAATTTCAAAGATGGAACCAAATTAACATCATCAACCTAAAGTCAGTTTTGTGTTACATTTATGCAAACCTTAATTAAAACCCTAACTCCCTACTGTCTTTTACTAAGGCCAAAAAAAATAATACTTCTGCTTCCGGTTACCCGACCGACCCTATTTTTAGGCTGCGACCCTAAGAAATGTATCAGCAATTAAAAAATAATAATAATAATGATTGAATAAATAAAAATAAAAACCTGTTGTCTTTTCTGTCTTCACAAAATACCTCTCAACAACCCTTTTGCGTCAAATAAATGCTTGTATTTATTTGTTTTCTTACTTACATTCGCTATTTTTTTTCAAAAGAAACCTTCGTTATTTTTACAAATTCGCTTCGCGATTATAACTACTTTGCAATTCGATGTCACGGTGACTATAATCACACGCGTAAACCTTGCTCAATGCAGCAACGACTGGTTCCCGCCGCGCAGGGGCCAATTTGAAAGAAGACATGATGAAAATGCGGTAACCAGTCTGTCATGGCTTTGCGATCGATAGCGCTAGCATGGCTATGCATTGCAGGCACGTGCACTGTCAACTGGTCGGATTCGACATCATAAAAATGCCAAGAAAACACCGATGGAGAAAGAACATTTTGCAAGTTAATTCACAGAATTGATCTAGCCTGTCTGTGTATGTATTTTCCGTGTTCAAGAGTTCATTTTGAGATTGCACTACTCGTATTTGGAGTGATACAATGCTGCGTGGTTCCCGAAAGAAATTTCGACCATAAAAACGAGGTCTGTCGGCCGCGGGCCACACATGCACAGTGCATCACACACTTCGGAGTTTTGGCCAGCTTCCCGTCTTGACTAGCGTTGTGCATATGGTGCGAACGACCTAAATTTTCCATTATTTTTTACGAATTATCGAACGTAAATATATTGACAATAATTAAGGTAGGTTTTATTCACTTTTTGTGGCCATTTTGTGTATAGTTTTCGTTGTGCAATGGAAATACTTCAGGCTAAAACTTCGCATATAATTGAATACCCCATTCAATCTGCACAAAAAAAATTGGCAAATTTTTTTTTTTCCAAACGACCGACCCTAATTTTGATAGGTATGTAATCGGAAGCAGAAGTAATTTTTTTTTCTGCCCAAGTACTAGACTAAGTTCACCAAAATAGACTGGTACATGTCCAACTATGGTCTAAGCCTGTTCGATATCCATTTATTTTTAAATCGGCATATCGTGAAAAAAATATATCGGATATCGCGATATTATCGTGATGCCGTCATTTTTCCATTCATGGAACAATGGAATAACAAAACAAAACAAAAAAACACGACCGAAGTCACGATCCACTGCCGCGAAAAAAACCCCAATATGTCCTGAACAAAATCGTCAATTTTATTTGACTCGAGTCTCATTTACTTTGCCAATTTAAGTAGAAAACAAATTCCACATTCAAATATCAAAAAAAATTACCTTGAAATGTTGGATAAAAATGTGCAAATAGAAATCCTATCGCGAGGAAAGAACGAAGCACTAGCACGCAATGCACGCCGCATTGATCCCCACGTGCACTCATAGTACAGCCCGCACCATTTGCGGCAAGGGTGTGCTTCATTGAAAACAATTTACCAGTATTTCCACCTTTTCAGAATTACAAATAATATTTTTTTTAATGGAGTCCGAAATATCTCCTGGTTCAGAAAAAGTTCTTCATCGTTACAAACTAACAAAATATTTTTTTTTCTAAAGATTTTTTTCGAAAAACTCCAAAATGAGGGTGAAGCACCCCTTTACAAAAATTAATGGATCAGTCCAATTTCTTGTGATGCATTTTCTGTTCTGTGAACGAAATAAAAGGCACGATTGAACAGTTGGTTTACGACGTTTTTTGTTGCTGAAGTTTGGGTTTGGGACAGTTTTGGCACTAAGCAAGTGTAAGTGCCCGGGCACAACCAAGGAAGAGACGGAACGAGTCAGGAAAATACGTGCAGGAAAATTTGATCTAGTTCGCCTGCGCGGAGTCGGCCCAGTGGCGATTTTTTTTTCTTCTCCCAAACGACATCTGCAATACGCTATGGCGTTTTGGACTATACTTTTCTAAAAACATGAGAAGAAAATCAAAAATTTTAAATATATGAAATTCGGACTTTATTTCCCTTTTTAAACAAATCCTCCCAAGCCTCAGGTTAGAAAATGAAAAAAAAAAATTCATGTGCAATACCGTGAATCGAACCTGCAACCTCGCGGTGTAAAACACAAAATTTTTATTGACTGAGCTGTCGCACTGCTCGCCTCAATCAAGGGAAACTAATACATGTATATGGTGTGCATGTATCATAAAAGTATCGTAGAGGGCGCTTAACGTGCGTATGCGGATGTCGTTTTGGCTGGAAAAAGAAAATTTGCGGACCCGGGGTGTCTCCTCTGGCCGCACACCGAAACGAAACATTCACTTCTCAACGTCATAATCTACAATTCAAGTATTTGCGGTGTTTTGTCTGTCTGTACAACTTCACATTTCCGTCAAAATGAAACAGGCACAGTATTTTCTTTGCGAAATGTCAGAGACTTTGTTTCCCTTCGGTTAACTACGCACGTGATTACGATTTCGGCACTTGGTATGTGGGGTGAAATTGTGTTGTTTGTACTGCCACGTGGAAGACGCAAAATCCAATACACGTGACGTTAGTCAGTTGGTTCTGCCCATGATTAGGTAAGACCGCGCGGTACAATGCGGTAACAGTGAATTTGCGGTTTTTCATGGGAGCGCTTTAGCGACAGTTTTAAAACTCAAGGGGTTGACTATATGGTTACAAAAGCGGTACTACAAAAGAATATCGCGATATTTTTCAGCATATCGAATTCCACGATGTGCCGATTTTTTTTTTATGAGATCGATACGATTTCCGATATGAAAATCAAATCGAAATATTGTAGCGCAAATTGGTAAACACTTTCATGACTTACTTCTCACGCGGCGATTCTCTTTAGTTCTGGCAGCTGGTCTTCATTGGGCGATAGAAATTAGAGATTGGGCGTTTTTAGCTGCGCACATAAAATGTACATAGCGTGCAAGCATGAGTGCTTGGCGGTACAGGGTACCAGCGAAAGCGCTGTTGCGCGTTGGGCTCTTTTAGTGTGCGGCGCAGAATTGGGCGCATTGGCATTGCACTGCATGCACAAACCGCATAGTTGGGCGCTTACTGAAGCCAAATTTATAGCGCGTATTTTAAAGTTGCTAAGGAGCTTGGTTACGCGTACGCCGTAGGCGCGGCGCACTTCACTTGCCATTTTGCTGTCACTTTGAGCGGACGTGCGCTGATCTCCACAACTAATATTGTGAGTAGAAAATAGTGTGATTTATATCGTGACACTTTTCCCAGCTATTTAATTTAGGGCAAGTCTAGCTTGGGGTAATTCAGCGCACAGTTATCCAAAGTCCGCATATTTTAGGTGAAATTTAGGAGAGAATATAAGCCAGAAATCTTGTGAATAATTTATTTGGAAACCATTTGGAGGTCTGATCACCTCCGGAGGTAACTGGAGGTGACTGGAGGTAACTGTGCTTGGAGGTACATGTACCTCCGATTCATTTGGTGCGAATTAAATGGTGCATTGAGTAGTACAAGTTATATCTTGTTTCCGATTGTCAATTACTTGCTTGTCCAATAGGGTTTGCCTGCAAGTGGGGATATATTTTCCCCAAACGGACGCACCCCCCGGGTTGTTGAGAACCCGCCGCCCATATAGAATCCCCACCGCGTGCGGAGCCGCTCCCGCACGCAACTCAATAAAATAATTTGTGGGAGGAAAGAACGTCACAAATGGTGTCAGAAGTGGGATTCTTGTAGGGAAAAATTTAGTATTGGTAGGCAAGTAGTTGTATTTTTGTGTGTGTGTTTGCTTACCTCTTCCGAGTGTGAGCGCCTCACTGATTTGTGTACCTCCGCCGGAGGTGCTATATAGAGTGTGTGTTATTTGAGAATTATTTTGCAGTTGTGTGTACAAATAAAAGGGGGCTTGGGATATTATGGCGGACCACAGGACCTCCAGAGAGGTCATATCAGGTTCGGGTACAGTCACCTCCGGAGGTGAGAGTGGTGTACCTCCCCATGGAACCGCCCCTAATTTCATATCAATGAGATTAGAGGAGCTGGAAAAAGAAATTCAGCTGCAGGAAGAGCAGCTCCGATACACACTTAGAAGCATGGCGTTGGATAAGAAAGTCCAGCCGAACAAAGTAGATAAACCGATTATAAATCGGAATAATGTTGAAATGCCTGGATTGCACCTCCCGGAGGTGCAGGATGATCCAGAGGTGAAATTCAAAGATTTAATGGGGGAGTTGAAGCTCCAAACGTCGGGGTATGCGACTGGGATCAGTCCTACGGTGCCCCTAACAACAAATACAGTCATGCAATGTAGTAGCAAAGACAGACAAAGTGAGGATCAAAACAGCCGTGTGGCTATAAGAGGTCCTCAGGTTAAAGGTTATGGAGGGCCTGTGACCTCCACACCTCGTCCCGTAGTCTCAGAGCCTGTACGGACAGGACAGAGAGATGAAATTGGATTGCATCCAATGACCGGACGTGGTGGTCGGCCGAATATAATGCCGGATAGATTTGACGGAAAAAGTCCCTGGAAAGACTACCGTCAGCACTTTGAAGCATGTGCAACAGCAAACGGCTGGAGCAATGCACAATCGGCTGTGTTTTTAGCAGCTAGCTTAAAAGGAGCAGCACTGAAAGTGCTAGGGCGTTGTAACCGAGAAAGTGGACAACTCCAGTATAAAGAATTGATAGATCAACTCGAAGCGCAATTCGGGCCGGGACAAATGGCCGAAAATTTCTTAATGGAATTGCGAACGCGCAGACAGGGTCAGAAAGAATCCCTGAGAGAGTTGGGGCAGGCAATAATGGAGCTAGTGGCCCTAGCCTACCCCGAGTTCGATGAAAGTGGACGGGACCGTCTAGCACGGGTCCACTTTGCTGATGCCATTGAACACCAGTCAATCAGAGAGGGCATATTTAGGGCGAGGCCCCAAACCCTTGACGAATCAATCAGAGCTGCATTGGCAACAGAAAACTTTGAGCGAATGGAAGCTGAGAGAGATCCATCGCCAAGAAAACCCAAATACTGTAGAGCGAGTGAAAACAAGGGAAACCCACAGTTGGGACCAGCTAAACAAGCATTTCGCTCAGATAAGGATAAATTCCAGACAGTGAGTGAGGCGCCCCAACCGATGGGAATACCTCATAGTGAGGTACACATTGGAGGCGCTACACAATCAGAGGTGTTGACTTGTTACAATTGCGGAGGATGGGGGCATTTTGCAAGAAAGTGTCCCTCCCCGAGAAATCGTTCGGGAAACGCCGGGCGGTCTACCACGGGACCCATGGAAAGACCGCTATTCCAGAAAATGGGTCAACCAGTTGTCCCCCAGAGAGGACAGAATCCAAACCAGAGTTAGAAAAACGGGAAACAAACTCGGTTCCCCTAGAGGAACCCAAAGAAGGGTTATTTGTACGAGGGGTGTTAAGATCTATCAGTGTACAATTTCTGGTAGATACAGGGTCGACAGACACGATTATATCGAAGTCTGTTTACTCCCAGATCCCTATGGAAAAACGACCCAAATTAAACACAAGCCATATTCAAGTTCGTCAGGCTGGAGGTAGCCTTATGGGCAACATAATGGGTACAGTTGAAGTTGACATTGAGGTTGGCCACACAGTTGCTCTTGTTAAGGCAATAGTGGCCGATTTGCCGATCCCAGGAATTCTGGGCATGGATTATCTTCTCCCGACCGGAGGAGTATTAGATCTTAATGATTTATCCTTACACATCCATGGTGAAAAGATCCGTTGTACAGATCGAGTTGGGTCCTCGTTCTGTTATCGGGTAGTGGTGGACACAACCACTACTATACCACCTGGGCATGAAGCTATAGTGCTGGGGCATGTAAAGTCCAACCAAGAGTGGATTGCCAAACTTGGAATAATAGAGCCAATAGGCAATGGTGGAGAGCTTGCCCAAAGAGGCTTGGTGTTAGCTAGAACACTTGTAAGGACTGACCAAGACACAGTTGGACTAAGGGTATTAAACCCAAGTAGAAACAAACGGGTACTCCGCTGTGGGACTACAGCTGGAGTCCTCACAGAAGTGAAGGAAAGTGACATTGAAACTGAGTGCAAGCAGGACTCTACCATGGGAGTGCACGTCCCACTACATCTCAGAGAACTCTACGACAGAAGCGTTGAGAATTTAGAGCCTCGTTATCACGACGAGGTCAAGAGACTCCTAATTGAGTTTGGTGATGTGTTCTCCAAGGGTGAATCCGATCTAGGTCAGACCAACCTGGTGAAACACACCATCGATACGGGCACTGCCCGACCTATGAAGCAGCGGTTGCGAAGACAACCTGAATGCAATCAACAAGAAATATCCCGACAGGTTGAAGGTCTTGTAGAAAGAGAAATCATAGAACCATCTGAAAGCCCTTGGGCTTCGAATGTGGTTCTTGTTGCTAAGAAAGATGGCACAAAAAGATTTTGTGTGGATTATCGAGGGCTAAACTCAGTTACAATAAAAGATGCATATCCTGTTCCAAGGATAGATGACTCCCTAGACGCCCTGTCCGGAGCGAAATGGTTCTCCACATTAGACCTATCCTCCGGATATTGGCAGGTTGAGCTTGATGACGAAGCGAAACAAAAGACTGCATTTGTGGTCAGAGGAGGCTTGTTCAATTGGAAAGTAATGCCCTTTGGGCTCAGCAACGCCCCGGCCACATTTGAACGGTTAATGGAAAGAGTAGTCGCAGGGTTGCAGTGGCAGACACTGCTTGTGTACCTCGATGATGTGATCGTGTATGGGAAAACGGTCACCGAGGAATTGGATCGCCTGAAAGAAGTGTTCAGTCGCTTCAGAAAGGCAAACCTGAAACTAAAGCCAGCAAAATGCTTCCTGTTTCAGAAAACAGTGAGGTATTTAGGTCATGTAGTATCGCAGAGTGGCATCGCCACTGATCCAGACAAAACCAAGTCCATTCGAGACTGGCCAACGCCTGGTAACGTCAAAGAGGTTAGAAGTTTTGTGGGACTGGCCTCTTATTACCGGCGCTTCATCAGAAATTTTGCAGACATAGCAAAGCCCCTGCACAAACTTACCGAGAAGTCTCGGGATTTCATATGGGACTCAGATTGTGAGAGGTCATTTGAGACCCTCAAGAAGTGTCTGCAAGAGGCACCAATATTAGCCTACCCCAAGCCAGAGGGCCAGTATATACTGGACACTGATGCTAGTGGGGATGGAATTGGGGCTGTGCTCTCACAAACTCAAGAAGGGAGTGAAAGGGTGATTGCATATGCTAGCAGAACCCTATCTAAACCCGAGCGGAATTATTGTGTGACGCGGCGAGAACTACTCGCAGTGATCTTCTTCTTACGACAGTTCAAGCAGTATTTGTACGGACGGAAGATAATCATCCGAACTGATCATGCCTCCTTGCGATGGCTTATCAACTTTCGCAACCCAGAAGGTCAGTTGGCTAGGTGGTTGGAAGTCATTGGCGAGTACGATTATACAATTGTACATCGACCAGGCTTGAAACATTCCAATGCAGACGGCCTATCTAGGCAACCATGTAGACAATGCGGAAGGACTCTAGAGAATGAGTCAGAAACGGCAGTACACGAGAGTGTGGTTCGAATAACAAAGGTACAGCCAGAAATAACCAATGAAGCCATAACGCAGGCCCAACTAGAGGATTCCTCCACTTCTTGGGTAATCCAGGCCAAAAGAGATTCAACAGAAAGGCCAGAATGGAACACCGTTTCTGGGAAGTCAATTTCCATCAAGACCTATTGGCGCCATTGGGATCAGTTACACATCAACAATGATGTACTATACACCAGGTGGGAGTCTGATGATGGCAAGGAACTGAAATGGAAAATTGTACTTCCTGAGTCGCTACGAAAAGCGGTGACGGAAGAACTGCATGCAGGAAAAACAAGTGGACACCTTGGGTTTAAGCGAACACTGGCCAGAGTAAAGTGTCGCTACTACTGGTGTGGCATGCGCGCAGATGTCCGTTCCTTCCTCAGGAAGTGTGAACGATGCGCAAAGAGGAAATCACCACCTAAGCGGAACAAAGCACCGTTACAGCAGGTTCCAGTTGGCCATCCAATGGAAAGAGTAGCACTGGACATAATCGGCCCGCTACCAATCACCGACGATGGGAATCGTTGGATACTGGTAGTGGGCGATTATTTTACAAAGTGGATCGAAGCATATCCACTTGTGGACACAACAGCACAAACAGTTGCCAAGGTCCTTGTCACCCAGTTTATTTGCCGATATGGGGTCCCTGCAGAACTTCACTCTGATCAGGGAAGAAACTTTGAAGCAAACGTGTTTGGTGAAGTGTGCCGTACACTCGGTATACACAAAACACGAACCACACCCTATAATCCAAAATCCGATGGACTGATAGAGAGGTTCAATCGAACCCTCATCAACATGGTTGCAACCATGATAGAGCCTCACAGGCAGCAAAAGGATTGGGATTTGCAGTTGCCATATGCAACATTTGCATATCGATCCACTCCGCAGGAAAGCACAGGAGAGACACCCAACATGATGATGTTGGGCAGGGAAACGGCTTTGCCGATTGATCTATTGACTGTTCACCTCGAGCACCCTGCGAGTGGCGACTTGGATTATGCAGAAGAGTTACGAACAAGACTAACGAGTGCTCACGATCGGGCTCGTGAGCATCTTAAATCCAGTACGAGAAGACAGAAGCGAGGCTACGACCGAAATGTGTCTGGCAAACCGCTGAACAAAGGAGATTTTGTTTGGGTTTATAACCCAGCCAAGAGGAAGGGAGTCTGTCCAAAACTAGAAAGTCGTTGGCAGGGCCCGTATCTGATAGTTGATAAACTTTCGGATGTAGTGTTCCGACTCCAAAAGAGTAAAAGGGCACGGACAAAAGTAGTGCACTTTGACCGGCTGAAACTGTATGAGGGCAAAACCCTTGAAAATTGGACTGAACCCAGGCACGAAAGCCTAATAAGTGAGCATGAAGAAATCAGTAATGAGCGGATGGAAATCCCTCCCCAAGACAGATCTATTGAGTGTGTAGATAATGAGTCAGGAAATGAGAGTGAGGCCATGGAAGAGCCGGTTGAAGCCGCTTCCATGGAGGTAATTAACAATGTCAATGAGGGAACTCAGGAATGTGAATCTGAAGAAAACATTGCGGCATTGAATGAGTGGGTGAGGACCCCTCCAAAATCTTCTATGAAACCCTCCGATTTGATGAGCGGTGTACCTCCTGTAAAACGACGGCAGTTGCCAGTAAGAAATCGTAGAGTACCCAAGAGGTACAGGGATTGTTAGAGGGTGATGAATGTTACTAAACCCTCTCTTCTTCTTGTTTCTTATTTCAGACTATGCCATTACCAATGACCACTCCAGACGATCTGGACGAGAGCAGGTTGCTGAGGTGCAACAAGTGCCCGAAAGTATTCTTGCAGAGACGAAGTCTCTACCGGCATCTGCAAGATTGCCATGGCCCACCCAGATACCTCGACTGCCAGAGGTGTGAATTCCAGTCTAAACGGCGGGACAACCTTCGCAGACACTACAGAAGGGTACATCCGAAACACATGGATGACCTCCATTTTTCAAGCAGCCCTCAGGGGCAGCTACCACACAGTCACCGTTGGATGGAGCGGAGGGATATCGCAAAAGTGTCCTACAGCCCCAGGGCAAGACCTGCAGCAACGGCGAGCTGTCCCCCGGAGACAGTAAATGCTCCAGCTAAATATCCAGCTACAGTTCCACCCACACCACGAGAAGCGGTGCATGTGGCACCTCCTCAGCCTACACCATGCAGTGTCTGGAATGAGATGGACATTCCAGTAGCTGAGGAGGTGGTGATCTCGCCAGCCGCATCACTATCCTTACTACCAGCAACCGCTGAGGAGCCGCTGCCCACCCACAACAAGACACCTAGCCCGGTTTCGGCACCAGTGAGCGGGAAACCCCTAGCCTGGCTGAAAAGCCAACTTCAACAGCAAAATCTGCCTACAGCCTCGGCCTCGTCAAGTGAGTCAAGCGAGGACTCAGACGAAGAAGAGGAGGTCACCAAGAAGAAATCATCCCTGCTCAATATTGCCATCGACAACGGCCTGACCAAGGTGACAGAGGTCGTCACCAAGACGAATTTCCGCAACGGCGACAAGGTTTCCGAGGTGACGCGGACCAGGGTGTATGAAGCCGGCAGCAAGTAGATCCAAAGTCTTCAAGTTCGTCTATCTGGACTTAACTTTTAACTTCAATTAATTGTTCCTCGTCGCGTTGCGGATCAGGACTCTAGTGCCACCTGTTAATCAACAAGAGAGTCTAAGTGTTTTTATTTTATTCTGAAATATTAAGTGTTGCGGATAAGGACTCTATCGTCCCAGTTAATGTTTTACTGTTAATTCAGATAATTGTTGACGAATTCATTGTTCAAGTGTTTTTGTTGAGGATCAACAGACTCTGGTCATCGGTGAAATTAGCTATAGAGTCAATGTTTTTAAGGAAATGTCTTGAAAGAATTAGAATTGCTGAATTGTTTAATCACAAAATAATTGCTGCCTTTATCCCTCACCTTTTTAACCAATTTGCTTGTTAGAGTTTCAGCCTAAGTGAACGGGGACCGTTCAGGCTTCGAGTGGGGCTATGTAGCGCAAATTGGTAAACACTTTCATGACTTACTTCTCACGCGGCGATTCTCTTTAGTTCTGGCAGCTGGTCTTCATTGGGCGATAGAAATTAGAGATTGGGCGTTTTTAGCTGCGCACATAAAATGTACATAGCGTGCAAGCATGAGTGCTTGGCGGTACAGGGTACCAGCGAAAGCGCTGTTGCGCGTTGGGCTCTTTTAGTGTGCGGCGCAGAATTGGGCGCATTGGCATTGCACTGCATGCACAAACCGCATAGTTGGGCGCTTACTGAAGCCAAATTTATAGCGCGTATTTTAAAGTTGCTAAGGAGCTTGGTTACGCGTACGCCGTAGGCGCGGCGCACTTCACTTGCCATTTTGCTGTCACTTTGAGCGGACGTGCGCTGATCTCCACAACTAATATTGTGAGTAGAAAATAGTGTGATTTATATCGTGACACTTTTCCCAGCTATTTAATTTAGGGCAAGTCTAGCTTGGGGTAATTCAGCGCACAGTTATCCAAAGTCCGCATATTTTAGGTGAAATTTAGGAGAGAATATAAGCCAGAAATCTTGTGAATAATTTATTTGGAAACCATTTGGAGGTCTGATCACCTCCGGAGGTAACTGGAGGTGACTGGAGGTAACTGTGCTTGGAGGTACATGTACCTCCGATTCATTTGGTGCGAATTAAATGGTGCATTGAGTAGTACAAGTTATATCTTGTTTCCGATTGTCAATTACTTGCTTGTCCAATAGGGTTTGCCTGCAAGTGGGGATATATTTTCCCCAAACGGACGCACCCCCCGGGTTGTTGAGAACCCGCCGCCCATATAGAATCCCCACCGCGTGCGGAGCCGCTCCCGCACGCAACTCAATAAAATAATTTGTGGGAGGAAAGAACGTCACAATATCGTGAAATATCGTCATACCGAACAGGCTTACTATGGTCTAACTATTTGAAAAGACTGACCTCTTCATTCAGTGTCATTAGGCAGTGACTGACTATGGAGAAATGTGTAATAAATAGAGACTAGTTCCTAACTTGCCACGTTTCTTCTGGCACAGTTGATTGATGCTGTACTGAAGCTGTGTTGGACTGGTTGTTTCAGGTGCCAGTCTATTTTCTTGCGTTGCATGTTTTCAATACCTTAGGTTTTGGGACTCTCATCCGCAGTATTGAGTGTCCCAAATTTTCATACAAGGTTAACACGTACATGAATGCAAATTGCTGTTTATCTTTGCCTCCTGTGTAGTGGCCATGTTGCGTCTACCAGCTATCATGAGGCCTGTGTTGGCCAGGGCTCTAGCACCCTCCTCCTCATACGCTGCACCTGCATTGACACGTTGCTATGCTAAAGACATCAAGTTTGGTGCAGAGGGTCGAGCATTGATGCTGGAAGGAGTTGATCTCCTAGCTGATGCTGTGGCAGTCACACTTGGACCAAAGGTACTAATAGTAATAGTCTTCCATTTGACAATGTTGTATCTTCACAGTGTCTTAAAAATTATACCCATCTTTAAATGTAAATTATCACAAATCCACTCAATATTTCAGAAAAAAAGACATATATCAGGAAAAAGTTCAGGATGTCCTCTATTCAGCGGTATTAAGTTCATTTTGTCATTGCCATGGATGACTGAGCAAACAAGGCCTCTGGTTGAGTTAGCACTGTGTCGAGTAAGTACACAATGGAAAGTAGTGATTTTTGACGTGTTGATTCTCACTAAATGGGGTGGGCTTCCCACTTTGACAAGTGTTGCATGTTTAGCAGAGTTTCTAGCTAAAATACCATGGAGGGTTAGGGTCAATTGGAGAAGGGGTGAACAGAATTATATACATTCCACATTTGAAATAATATTTGTGATCTATTCCTGGGAATAATAAGACTTCACCATTGACTGGTAAGTCAGGACAGAGAGGCCATACAAGTTGACTTGCTTCAAGCTTGTACTGTTCCTTTTATTTTATCCTTGCCAGGGTCGTAATGTGATTATTGAGCAGAGCTGGGGTAGCCCTAAGATCACCAAGGATGGAGTAACTGTAGCCAAATCTATTGAGCTAAAGGACAAACAAAAGAACTTGGGTGCTAAGCTGGTACAAGACGTGGCCAATAATACCAATGAAGAGGCTGGAGATGGGACCACAACAGCCACGGTGCTGGCCAGAGCCATAGCTCGGGAAGGCTTTGAGAACATCAGTAAAGGAGCTAATCCTGTAGAGATCCGTAAAGGAGTCATGATGGCAGTGGACTGTGTGGTTGATGCTCTCAAGAAACTCTCCAAGCCTGTCACTACACCAGAGGAAATAGCGCAGGTAAGATTGTGCTTGGTTTTTTGTTTTTTTTAATATCTTGACACAAATTCCATACAATCATACATTCAGTATCCGATTCAATGTACTTACTTACTTATGGCAGCCTCAACCAAGCATTTACAATGGATGCCCAGATTGCACGGCCCTCCATTAGTGATCTGATCTCAGCAGTCCCTTCTATCCCAGTTTCCCTACACAGTGTGTTGATAAGTGTTGTGGGTGGACGTCCTCTCCTGCGGCTACCGTGTCTTGGCTCCCAGAGCACCAGCTGACTAACTGCTAGCTCTTTGTGTCTCACGCAGTAGCCAGCAAGCCTCATTCTTCTGTTGGCGATTTTGTCAGTAACTTTTGGGAGCCCGCTTTAGAGTACAGCGTTGGTGATGTGCCCTTTTCAGCTCACGTTCAGTGCTGCCCTCAGCATTCTTGTGTAGCATCCATCAAGAGACTTTTCTAGGGTGGAAGTAAGACTCCAGCTCTCGCAACCATACAGGAGTACTGTCTCAACTGTAGCTACAAAGAGGGGAATTGTTATGCTTGGGGAGACATTGGAGGTCAATGTAGTTCTTTAGTTTGATTGTCTTTGTTTAAATTCAATATAGCAAAGGTTACAGTTATTCATCAGTGCTAGCCTCGGCTTATTCTAACAAGAGTGTCTGGGGTAACATTTATTCATGTTCTTGTTTTGTGACCCATGACTCATGAACTAATATATTCAGTTTTAACTCCTCATCCCCATTTCCTCTCAAATTAATGAACCTTCTGGTTGAGAAAACCAACTGGAACATATTTGAAGTCCATCTTTGGTATTAATCATTCCATGAAATGGATTCTGTTTTTTAGGTTGCAACCATTTCAGCCAATGGGGACCAAGCAGTTGGAGGCCTGATATCCCAAGCTATGAAGCGTGTTGGTCGTGATGGTGTAATTACTGTCAAAGATGGCAAGACACTTCATGATGAACTAGAAGTCATAGAAGGACTCAAGTTTGACAGAGGTTACATCTCCCCTTACTTCATCAACGCTGCTAAAGGTAAGAATCAATAGGCCCAGGGCTGATCCCCGAGGTATCAGGAACCCCTGTCACACTCGTAAAAATCAAACATACTTCTACACATGTCTAACACTCTACGCTGGTAAATTCATTCCTGGGAGGGACTAGAATTGAGAGGCTCTTCCCGGGCAAACAAAAGTCCACAATCTTTGGCCTAGACCCATGCACGCACCAATGTAAGTATGACTGGAATGCCTTGTCAACCCATGTTATATCAGACCCAGTTCCGCAGCGATCACAGTTGGGAAGTGTTGATTTCAACACGGCTTGGTGAGATGGAAAGTATGCAATGGCCTAATGTACTGATCTGTATGGTACTTCTGGACAGCCAATTATTTAAAGTATACTTGACTTGGGATACTGTAATACCTAATATCATATCCCAAAAAAAACCATTTCAGTCACTTTTATTAAAAACACCTGAGATGTTCTGTAGATATAGAAGAATTAGACATAAGACATTGTTGGTTTGATCTCAAAGTTCTGGAGTACAGTTTTACTGTGGGTCACGTTAGTTTACTGCGAGGGTGAGGAATTGTAGATAGCTTCTAAAAAATATTTCCAGCTGAATGGAAATTCAAGCTCTATTTGAAATAATAATCTTCATCATAAAAATAGTTTTCATTATAAACATTTGTTGAATTCAGTCACTTTTCATTTATATATGGCATGAATTAACTGAACACTTGAAACTAATCAGTTGAAACATATTTATGATGATTGATACATGAATCCACTTGTAATTGCAGGGCAGAAAGTTTTCTTTGAAGACGCCCTGCTTCTGTTGAGTGAGAAGAAGATCTCTAGCATTCAGGCCATTGTGCCTGCCCTGGAGTTAGCTAATGCACAGAGGAGACCGTTAGTCATTTTAGCTGAAGATGTGGATGGAGAAGCACTCAGTACACTGGTTCTAAACAGGTGAAGTCCACATATTAACCAGATTCATATGCAGCAATGTGTTGGGATGTAAGTCCTGCCGTTGCCTGATTCCAGGCTGTTTTCATTTGTGAATAACACCATACATGCCTGTATACTTTTCTTTGTAACTCAGATTTCAGGCAAAAATGTCAGAATCCACTTTATCCCTGAATGTTTGTCAGCACAACCTTTTTTTAATTTTACAAAATGAAATTGTGTTTTGGTTTTGGGTATGACTGTGTCAATTATCATGTTGTATGGTATCTGTTGTGATTTCAGGCTGAAGGTTGGTTTGCAGGTAGTTGCTGTCAAAGCACCAGGCTTTGGAGATAACAGGAAGAACCAGCTACATGATATGGCCATAGCTACTGGAGGATTGGTAGGTAGTCATGTTGTTGCAAACAACTCAATTAGTTGATTTTGGATTTTTGTTGAAAGATAGCAACAAAAAGAACAGTATTTTATGCAAGTCAGGAGAATGTGGATCCTGTGGGGTATCAGTGTTGTAGTCGAGGCCACAACGGCCGAGGCCACCACCTCCGAGGCCGAGGCCAGCTATTAAAACACGTAATCAAATATAAATCACTAAAACAAGGCTAAGATTTTGTTGGATTTTTAACATCTTTTTGGTTGAATTCACTGAGTTTTGGAGTGCCTGGCTTACAAAATTTACAGCTTGCAATGTGTTTCCTCTTGCCATGATCTTCAAATTGTTCGTAGCCATTGCAGCCAAATTGGATGATCCAAGAATTCGTGGTCATTTTGATGAACTGAGTGATATCATGCACGCACGTGGAAAGCTGAAGCACAGGACAGACATGCTTTGCGTACGTTGCACAAGGCATGCATGCGAAGAACGGGTTGGTTCCTGTTGTGATACTTCATGAGCACTACTTTGTATGCGCGCAAGCACATTAGGTGAACAGTTCGCCCGCGCTCACGCTTACATTATGTCTGATGAATAAAGCTGCAGTGGCACAGAACCTGAGAATAATCTCCTCTGAGTTCTTCATTGATTCATCTCACTTCATGGTGGCAGCGGTGGTGAAAAAGGCCAGAGAACACCCATCACTCTCAACTAAGCAGAGTAACTGAAAACTACCGGAGAGCAGCAGAAATTGTCTCCGCGACAACAACGTTTCCGCTGTGATCGCCAGTGTGAACTGTACATATCCATATGTACTCGCCGCGTGCGTAGATTCAGCGCACCACATCACACACTGTATGCCGCACACCCACCGTAGCCAAGCCCACTGCACACCGCACGCAACGTAACTGAAACTCAGCTGCGTGCGTAGCCTAGCCCGGAGTCTTCGCCGGACTGAGCCAAGCCTAAGCCATCACCGAGCCAACGCTGAGACGGACCGCTATACCGTGCTGTGGACAGCACGGACAAGAGAAAACCCCTCTCCCCGAGTCGACCATCGGCATCATAGCGACAGAGGACTTTTTCGTCTTTTTCGTGGAGCTGAGTGAAAGCTGATCGAGCTCCGATTTGACGCGACCGCACCGGGACTCGACCGAGCTTACTCGACCCGTACACACGGTCGACCGGTCAGGGACCAGCCCGTCGCACCATCGCGTGACCAAGGCAAGTCACTACAATAACTTTGTCAAAAGTTTGATCTACGGGAGTGATCATCAGCCCCCCCCCCCCCCCCCACCCAGCCAGTTCACGCAACAATGTACACCTTTGAATCACCTTCATATTGTTAAACATTGTTTTGCTATCGTGCACACATTCTTGTAGCTGTGCGTATGAACAAATAGTTCCGTGAACATCACAAGCCCTGTGAACCGCTTCACGCATCTTTACGTCAAGTGTGACCTTTGACCCTATCACTCCGCATCATCGCCGGAACTGTGCGCTTCCCGCTCATCACAGTGAACATTCGCCGTATTCATCCGCCAGTGCCGGAACTGTGCATCAATCATATCTACGGAGGCCTGTACGGGACATCAAGTCAAGTTGGAAATCTGACAGTACATCGCTCATTTCTGTGGAACAGCAGGACAAACTGTGTTTGGACATTCTTGGAGAAAGGACTGCTCACCAAAAGAACTCTGGACATTTCATATATGAACAATAATATGTGTTTTGACAAATATATTGTTGAATAGTCAAAATTATTATTGAAATAATTATATTGTTGTGATTTATTGTGATCACTAATCGTAGCACTTACCTTTAAGCTACATTGCAGTTGCTATTGTTTACAATTTCGTTTGCTGTAGCATATTGAATTGTATCCCAGAGATTTCTATCCCACAGCCCTGCATCATGGCCAAGTTCCCAGAAATGAACTGGGGTGCCACAGACATCGCAGAAGAGTTTAAGCTTTTTAAACAACGGATGGACCTGAGCTTCAGGGACCAGGAAATCACCGATCCTGCCAAGCGTGCTGTTAAGATACAAATAGCAGTCGGAACTGGAGGCCTCAAAATGATAAATTCTTCAAGCCTGTCAGCAGAAGAACAACTGATCCCCAACCAGTTATGGGAGTTGTTCGAGAAGCAGCTACACATCAAAGTGAACTTCCGCATACATCGCCTGGAGCTTATGCGGTATCGCCAGAAACCAGATGAATCCCTGTACAACTTTGTCAACAGATGCCGAGCAAAGGCACACGAATGTAACTTCGGGCCAGAGGAAATGACGGAACGCATCATCGAATTAGTGATTGCGTCTACCACATCTGAATCTTTCCAGAAAGATCTTCTAGACAAACCCATTGGTTTTAGCATCGATGACATGCTACAAGAGGGACGGAAGTACGAAGCCATCCTTGCTGGCAAAAAGTGCCTTGAGACGTTGGAGGCGTCACATACAGCTGTCCATGCTTTCCGACCCACTGGCAGAACCTGTGGCAACTGTGGTCTATCCCACCAACCAAGACGGTGTCCTGCCTACCGGGACACATGTAAATCATGTGGTTCCAAGGGCCATTGGGCCAAATTCTGCAGAAAGACCCGAAGCCAGGGTAAACGCAAGGGCAAATCTCCGTCCAGACGTGGCCGCAGCCCATCGCGAGGAAATACAACTCGCAGACCAAGATCCAAAAGTCGATCCAATGCCGGCAAGCAGAAGCCAAATGACACCAACAGAGATGAACAACCCATCCATTCAGCAGAAGCTTCAGAGGAATATGAAACAGTATTCCACACAGTTACTGTCTCGAACCTCTGCATGAGCTCGATAGACAACAACAGGGAGGCATACACAACGCTTGACGTTATCTGCCCCGACCTCATCGGCAAACACCGACTAATCACAAAAGTTGACACTGGAGCCGGAGGAAACACGTTGCCACTCCGTACGATCAAACAGATGTATGGAAGTCGATGGAAGTCTTTCGTCCAGCCTGTGAAGTCCAAGCTGATGGCATACAACGGTACAGAGATTGTATGCCTAGGGTGCATTGAGCTTTTATGCCGCTACAAGACACCGAAGTGGACAAAGAACAGATTCTACGTCGTAGATGTACCCGGACCAGCCATAGCCGGCCTGCCCATGTGCAGCGAGCTTGAAGTGGTCACCATCCATTCCACTGAATCGTCACCTCAACCCCCTGCATCACCCAAACAACCAGGAGTAGGTGAACCCCAAAATCTGTCACATGACACCATCAAGTCGGTCCACGACCTCGTGAGGTTGTACCCTAACCAATTTGACACAATTGGAAACTTCAAAGCCAGAGCAACTCTTCATCTGAAGGAGGATGCTAAACCGAGCATTGACGCGCCCAGGAAGTGTAGCATACACCTGAAGCCGAAGCTCAAAATAGAGATCGACAAGATGGAACAGCAAGGTGTAATTAGAAAGGTCACCCATCACACCGACTGGTGTAGTTCGATAACCACGAGCTTGAAACAAGATGGGACACTTAGGGTCTGTCTGGATCCTAAGCGGCTGAACCAGAGCCGCAAGAGATGTCCGCACAAAATACCCACACTGGAGGAACTCAACCCAGCATTTTCTCAAGCCAAATTCTTCTCGAAGCTTGATGCTAAAGCTGGGTATTGGGCCGTCAAGCTCGAGGAAGAATCCCAAGAGCTGACCACCTTTCGAACGCCATTTGGCCGGTACTGTTTCCAGCGCCTTCCATTTGGTCTCTCCATCAGCCAAGACATCTTCCAGCAGTGCATGGACGACATCATAGAACAGGTCCCAGGATGCGTCGGCATTGCTGACGATGTTGCTGTATATGGCCGTACTGAGGAAGAACACGATGCCAACCTCCTGAATCTACTTCAAACAGCCAGCCGTGAAGGCTTAGTTTTCAACAGCAACAAATGCCACATCAAGACCAACCAAATCAACTTCTTTGGGTCACTGTACTCCGACACCGGCATCCGGCCGGACCCAGGCAGAATTGAGGACATCCACAGCATTCCAACACCTCAGGACAAGGAAGACCTGCAAAAATTCCTAGGCCTGATCACATACGTCTCTGCATATATCCCTAACCTGGCAGACAAAGCAGCGACCCTCGGGGATCTCCTGAAGAAGAATGTGCCATATCTGTGGCAGGATGACCATCAAGCAGCATTCGAAGCCTTGAAATATTCCATCACCACTGAAGCGTGTCTCCAGTACTACAACCCAGAGATACACACTGTGCTGGAAGTCGACGCATCACAGAAGGGTCTGGGAGCCTGCCTCCTTCAAAACAACAGGCCGATAGCATTCGCGTCGAAGAGTCTTTCCCCGGCACAAGCCAACTACTCTAACATAGAGAGAGAAACACTAGCCCTAGTGTTCGGCATCACCAGGTTCCATAGCTATCTCTTCGGGAAAGAGTTTACACTCCACACTGACCACAAGCCACTTGAGATGATCTGGAAGAAACCCCTCTCGAGTGCACCACCTCGTCTGCAACGCTTGCTAATTAAGGTGCAAGGATACAACTTTGACGTACAGTACAGACCAGGGAAAACAATGACGCTATCAGATGCCCTAAGCAGATTGCCAAACCCGACAAAGAGTGATGACATACCCCTAGACAGACTGGTCAGCAGTTTTGATGTCTATGAAGGCCAAGACGCCATGTGCATGGACCTTGTGCATTTTGGGCAGTCTAAGCAAGAGCAACTGCAGAGAGAAACAGCAAGAGACCCTGTACTAAGTGCACTGTGTCAGATAATATACAGTGGCTGGCCAGACTCCGTCAAGGAACTACCTCGAGACCTACGGGTCTACTGGCCATACAGGGACGAGCTTGGTATCTCCTGGGGAATAATCTTCAAAGGAAGACAAGTCATCATTCCAGACTCACTTCAGACGGATATCTTACAACAGCTCCATACAGGCCATATGGGTATAGAGAAGACAAGACGTCTAGCCAGAGAGTCGGTCTACTGGCCCAACATCAATCGCCATATTGATGAACTTGTCAAAGCGTGTTCCTACTGCCAGGAATCCCAACCCAAACAGCAAAAGGAACCATTGGAGCCACATCAAGTACCTTCGACCCCCTGGACCAAACTTGGCACTGATCTGTTTGAAATCCACGGAGACAACTATCTACTGATAGTTGACTATCATTCGAAGTACCCTGTTGTTCACAAGTTGAACAGCACAACCAGTGCAGCAGTTGCTGGCATCACCTCACACACATTCAGCCTCCTTGGAGCACCAGCTGAGGTTATGTCAGACAACGGCCCCCAATTTGTAGGCAAACACTACGAAGACATGTGTAACACATGGGGCATCAAGCACACAACTTCGTCTCCACGTTATCCACGTTCAAACGGTTTCGTGGAACGTTCAGTCAGAACCGTCAAGTCAGTGATCAAGAAATGCCAGAAGTCTGGACAAAATGTCGACATAGCACTCTTGAACCTCCGTGCAACCCCTGTGGACTCCAAACTACCGTCACCAGCTGAAATTCTCTTCGGCAGACCGATACAAACTACCTTGCCAAACAACCACCTGCAAGGAAACCCCCAGAAAGCTGAGGATATCAGAGACCAGCTAGAGGCAAGACGACAAAAGATGAAGACCGACCATGATGCCAAACAAGCAGTAAAAGAACTCCCGCAACTCTATGTTGGCCAACGAGTGCGAATCCTGGACCAGCAGAACCACACTTGGTTGCCTGGTGAAGTCACAACAGTCTGTAAGGAACCTAGATCATATGAAGTCACCACACCCAATGGACACAGACTACGTCGCAACCGTTCGCACCTACGTGAGATGCCCAGCCAGATGAAATCCCTGGCTACGCCCAAACGAGTTCGATTCGCTGATGAATCACTTCCACTGTCCAACAAGAAGCTAGACACAGAAGCTGTGAAACAAACAGACCAAAACAAAACAGACCGAAACAACAGAATAATCTCCTCTGAGTTCTTCATTGATTCATCTCACTTCAGTTCCCTGTCCCATTATCGCTTTGGCTACTGCACTTGTGACGTTCACTCATATTCAGGGACGTACGTCGGACAAGTGTAGCTTGAAATTTCCAGCGTTACTTGGCTAATGGCGTCATTGGTATGACATGGAAACGAAGCCCCTGACTTAAACGGCGGTTTTTGCTATTTTTGCAAATGATTTCAATTTCCGTTCAAATTACAAATAAAAAGTCCCCTATGTGACTGTAGATTTATTCTTATTGCAGCAGAGGATCCATGCAAAATGCGAAAAGAATCAAGTTGAACAAGATAAAAAGAGACATTTTCGGTGCAACTCCGGGTGTGTACAAAAAAATCCTCAGTTCATTAACGTACACACGTGCATCACCTGCGCTAGGGCCGTATAGGGCCTATGCGGGGACAAAATCGCATCCGAGGATCATTCACAACAGCCAATCACAGGGCTCTATCATATTATTAATGCAGAGTAGAACAGCCAACATGGCAGCAGTTACATGTACAACTCAGCATAAATAATCGAGGCGCCCTCTGATTGGCTGTTCTGATCTTCGGATGCGATTTTGTCCCCGCATATACGGCCATAGCGCAGCCTAGGCGAAGACGCTACGTACGCGAGTACGTTCAATGCAACCATTACCAGTGTTCATTCGTGCGTACATTGTATATGCTTTCGTTTCACGAAACCACTGTGGCAGTATCTCGAAGGTTAGATATGGTAAAAAATTTAAATTAATTGAAATAGAAAACACATCAAAATGGGCGGCCTCGAGCCGGCCTCGACCTGGCCTCGACCAATTCGCTGACGCCAGAAGGCTCCAAGGCCGAGGCCATGAAAATCGGCCTCGAGGCCTCAAGACCTCCAACACTGGTACAGAATGCTGTGGCTCATTTGCAGCGCCAATGTGTCTGGTGTTACAAACCAGGGGGAGAAACATCCAGCATCAGTTGGTATGCACATTGGGAGACCTCATAATTCATCCATAGTACTAGGAAAAAACACTGAAATGTGCTGGGTCCGGGAAAAGGCCTGCTGAACTCATAATGCTTGCTGGTGATTGACGAGTAGATAAACACTAGTTTCATTTAGCCAGAGCATACATTTCCTTTTACTGCTAAACCTGAAACCAAACCTCTTGGTAATGACAAAGATCCAAACCATACCAGAACCCAAACTTCAAGGTCAACTTGCACGTGTAAATTTGAAACTACATGTCTTAGCATAGATTGTCTCACCCAAAAGAGGATCACTACAGCCAGAACTTATATTGTTTTGTGAAATCTAATAATGTGGACAAGAACTTGTTCTTAATAAGAAGTTGAACTGACATTGTGTTGTTCTCAGGTGTTTGGAGATGAAGCCATGGATGTCAAGATCGAAGATGTCCAACTGCAGGACCTTGGCCAGATAGGTGAAATCACTGTCACTAAAGATGATACACTTATACTCAAAGTGAGTACTTCCTAACGGGTTTATTCTGTATTTTGACGGGTTTTATGTTTGAGTTCCTGAAATGGTCATTGAAAGTTTTTATAAAATGTGAAGTAATTCTTGTTTGTTAATAAATACATTTCCAATATTACACTTGAACTCATTTCATTTACATATTTAAGGCTAGTTTGTAAACCAGTACAAAAGATATTCATTTTTGCGTCTTGTTCCAGTGTACTCTCTTCCTATTTGTTAGAGAGAAAGTTACTATAATTGTACATGACAAGTACCACACTCACAAAGTAAAGTTGTGTGCTCATCACCAAAAAACCATTAGATAAACACTGCTAGAAACCGTTGCTTTGTTTGCCTAAGATTTTTTAGTCACGTTGGGGGAAAAATCAAATGTTTAGAATGGATTTTCAGCATGGATGTGATCCTCTAGTGCATTTGCCAAGCATTCGAAAATATCAAGCCTGAATGAGGGGCTTGATAATTATTGGTTATAAACAGTAAGTACTCTTTCTGTAATGCTGTTATAACAGTGATGAGTGGGCTCTTCTTTGACTCTGTATTCTTGTAGAACGGTCTCTTCTAATGCACACATGGCCTTGTCATTTGTGAATAGGGTAAAGGTGATCGGGAAGCCTTGGATCGCCGTATTGTTCAAATCAAGGATGACATTGAGGAAACAACCTCCGAGTATGAGAAGGAGAAATTTAGTGAGCGACTTGCCAAGCTGTCTGATGGAGTGGCAGTATTAAAGGTAAACAACATTGCAGGCTACCAACTCTTTTTCCATTACTTTTCTAGTCAAAAGAAAAAGTTTGACAGTTTTGCCTTTTTTTAAAAGAAATTTTGGGGTTTTTGTAACTGTGAAGGGCCCCATAAAAGAGGTAAAAGTCATATCTAAATGTTCATACTGAGGCAAAGCCGTTATCTCAAGGGTGTACAAAACTCATTGATTGTATCACAACAAACAAATCGTTAAGAATTCAATTGTTTGATAATGAAGTCTTTTTGGCATGACCACATTTGTTTGTTTAGACTCTTGTACACAGACAGATGCTAATGGTCGATTAGTTTAACTGTAATGCAGAGGAGATAATGATATTATTCAAAAGTCATGGAAAAAAATCATAAGTGATGTACGTGGGGTACATGAGTTCTGTATTCCATGGGTTCAATTCAGTGGTCGCTCATAAACATTGGAAATATACATGTCATGTAAACCGTTGCAAAGAAATAGAATGCAGAGATGAAACTTTTCCGATTTTAATCGGAAATCTGACTTTTTGAATTTTCCAACGAAATTTCAGATTTTCTTTGTGTCCCACAAAATTTGATTTTGTGTAACGATTTTTTCACAAAATGTCATTTTATTTCAATCATAATTTCGAAGAAAAGTCGATGGAAATGGCACGTTAAAATCATCGCAAACGTAGTTTTAATCTCTTTCACCAGTCGTTATTGGAGTGTTTCAACGGTAGAAACACAGGCCATAACACTGATAGGAGCCTTTTCCGGCTGGACAAAAGGTTAAACATTGACAGGTGACATGGAAAAATCACTGTGTCGCACGTGCGTGCAAAGATGCAATGTTATCGGCGTACGTACCGCACCGTACCGTCTGCACATGGCCGGTCGGGAATGGGTAGCCTCGTGAACGATCCAGTGGATAAAATCATTATGTTGTGCGATTTTCGGCGGTTTCAGATTTAGTTGTTCAAAATGCAATGCTTTAAAAATGATGATGATTATCTCGAGGATAGCGAAGAGAGCATTAGCGAAACATTTCACTGGCATTTGTTGGAAGAGATAGACGATAATGCCTGATTTTTCCCACATACCAATGCAAGTGGAGTAGTGGAGTTTTGTGGTTGAATCACGATTGACATGATTGAAGCACCATGAACAGTGCCCTTGTCTTTCGGACTTTTTCCTTGACTTTCTCAAGTAAGAAGTGAACTTCTTTGTTGATGACTCCATTACTCTAACTGTAATTCAGGCGTTTTATGCAATGAAAACACTGATCATTTTTTTTTTTTCATCGTAAAATTATGTTTGAATCGAAAATAAATCAGGAGTTGGTGTCCGGAAATTGGGCATGAAGTGTATTGTACATGCATGTACAGTGTACATGTGTGTAACTGCAGCGCGGCCCAGATTTCGGACACGTATTATTGTTCGGCCTATTTTCCGAATTTTTGCCATATGCCAGTTTCATCATTTCAACTAGAGGGTGAAAGATGGAGTTGGGTATCCGACATTAACCATGTCTGTCCGAACTTATGTAACTTGAATGCATTCTAAGTGCATATAACAGCTCAAAATAATTGATGCCATGCCATTTATTTTTGTATGAGCAGTTTTTGTGTCTTATTTCACACTCTGGTAAAATACCCGATATTACTTTCGTTTTCAGATTGGTGGCTCAAGTGATATAGAAGTAAATGAGAAGAAGGACCGTGTGAATGATGCATTGAATGCCACCAGGGCAGCGGTGGAGGAGGGGATAGTACCTGGAGGTGGGGTAGCATTACTCAGATGTATACCATCATTAGATGATCTCCAAACACCCAATAACGACCAAGCTACAGGTAAGTTAGGATCTAGGTATACACCACAAGTCCACACTACAGTGGATGCATATCAGGTTTATACCTAACCCATTGCATTAAAACCAAGATCAATGAACTGTGGTTCTTAATGGCTTTTAATTTCTCAAAGTTTATGGGTATGTTGGGAAGTCCGGTGTATTATTGAGTAGTGTACTCTGGTACTTTGTTCCGAAGCTAATTGAAACCTACAAATATCAATACTGTTTGTGAAAACCACTTTCTGTAATTGATCTTCAGTACAAAAGCCCATGCACAGTCTCATAATGGCCTTTGAATTCATATTGATTTGAATTCATATCTCGGATGAAATACAGATGCTCTTACTTGACCTATTACATTACAGTATAGATGACGCAATCCTCTAACTCAATGGTGTTACTGCAGGAAAGTTATGATCTATGTTATGGCTTTCAACAGGTTTAGTAGGAATTTATTGAAGTCTATATATACCGCAACTTCTAGAATTTAGTGTTATCTATTGTGTATTTTATTTCATTGCTGTAACAGGAGTAAGCATCATTCGCAAAGCACTACAGATGCCATGTACCCAGCTGGCCAACAATGCAGGCGTTGAGGGGCAATTAGTAGTTGCTAAAATCATGACCTCAGAGACGGAGGTAGGCTATGATGCAATGAATGGCCAATATGTAGACATGGTCAAGGCTGGTATAATTGACCCTACAAAGGTAAGCACATCTTATTTAGTCCAATCTTAACATTTATTTTGGAAACTCTAAGATAGCAGTAGAGTAGTAACTACCCTCCACCAGATGAAACCTTGCTAGAAAAATAGCGCAGGCCTTTGGAGACAACCGTCTTATCTGAACAAGCTTGTGAAGTGTTTTTCTACTTAAGTTGCTGAGGGCACTTAGCATCAGTGTTGGAGCAAAGGCTTTGACCCTCAAGGCCAAGGCTTTGACATTCAAGGCCAAGGCCAAGGCTTTGACCCTCAAGCCTCGAGGCCAAGGCTTAACCCTCAAGGCCAAGGCCAAGGCCCTGTTTTATGAAATGACCACTGATATAGAACTAATTATAGTCACATGAGTGACACATCATCACGCAAGGGCAGATCCAGAACACAATTTTTTTGGGGGGGGGGCAAAGAAATTTTGGCCCCCCCCCCCCAAAAAAAAGTGGGTCAAAAAATTACGGCTTGGGCTTCGGGGCCCGCTTAAGGGCCCCGAAAAATTGTTGGATTCGAGATGCTCTGTGGTGCGATTTGAGGCAATTTCTGACCATTTTAACCAATGTTTTTTTTAGGAAAAGATGGCGGTGTACTCATTGCCTGCCTTTATTACGACATCACATTAAAAAAAATGGTTTCGTGTTTTTTTTGGGGGGGGGGGGCATGGCCCCTTTTGGCCCCCCTAGATCCGCCCATATCATCACGAATTGCTCGTTACGAAGAACAACATTTCTTTTATTGCAATCAACATGCTCGCATAGGCCTACACCGTTTTATGACTGCACTGTATCTATTAAAGTATAAGTTCAGGTCTTCAATATGGTTTAACTAAACAAAATAATGATTTACTTCTATATTGACACACAATTCTCCCAAGTGTAACAAAAGGGAGATCCAAGAAAATGATTTGGGAAATTTTTATTTACTGGCCCAACATGGTCAGAAATATCAGCATTATCTAAAACAGATACATGCAAATCTTTAGCACTTTTAATATCAGGTAGACATATACAACCAATCAGATCTATTCCATAGTTATATGCAATTAAAGTGATCATCTCATTAGCCCCACAAGTGTACGGAATATTTTTGCAGCAAATCTACTACAATGGTAACAAAATGTGATGCTACAAAAGTGGAAGTGTGCCCAACACACAAATCTATAGGGTGCTTCCCTCCTCCATGGTAATACGATTAAAATGGTAACAGCAAAATTTCGAACAGATTTATCTGGAAAATGCAAAAATCTATGGGCCTTGAAGAGCCTTGACTCAAAATTGCAAGGCCCTGAACCCTCAAGGCTAAGGCCAAGGCTTTTGCCCTCAAGCCTCGAGGCCAAGGCCCTAAAATCCAGCCTTAAGGCAGCCTTAAGGCCAAGGCCCAGCATCAAGGCACTACATCACTGCTTAGCAAACAATAATTTCAAGAAGTTGTAAAAGGTAAAACCCAATATTGAACAAATTTACACAACTCTTAATGCAAAAACACACATACACAACCAATGTCAAGAGAACTGTAAAGATTTCACTCATGAACTTTTCATGTGAGATTGTTTGTTCCACCCCTGTCTTCACTCACCACTGCTCTTCACCAGGGATGCATGTGTATAGTGTTTAAAAAAAAGGATGAAAAGACCTAACAAGGCAAAACTTATAGTTCAAGGTAGAGTTTCCTATTCATATGAGGTTGAAACTGCATAACGTAACAAAAAATAAGCGGGCTTGACAAAAACCATGCAAGTACTATCTGATTGAGTGAAATATGCCCGCCCAAGCACTTGTCGCAGTGCAGGCAAAAACTCGGTTTTACAAATGAAGTGAGTGGCACCAATCAGTGTCATGTTGACTTTATTGCTCTTTGGTAGAAAGACATTTGGAATGCCATAGAATGAGTACTGAGCCAGCTAGTTATAGATTCATGTTCATTTCCCATAGACTTCAACTGAATTCATTTCAACCCAAGCTTGAGTGCATGGTGTCTGATGATGTGTAGATAGTTTACAACTGCTGAATGACTGTCCATGTTTCATCCTTTGATTTAGGTTGTGAGAACAGCCCTAGTTGATGCAGCGGGTGTGGCGTCGCTGCTATCCACATCAGAAGCTATCGTTACAGAAATCCCTAAAGACGACAAGATGCCTGATATGGGTGGAATGGGTGGTATGGGTGGCATGGGGGGAATGGGTGGTATGGGTGGTATGGGTATGTAAGCACCTATTCATTAGGAACTGTTATAACATATTTAATAGATCCTTTGGCTTTTACATAGAATGTACTATAAATCAATAGTGGTCCATGTTTGTCAATGTCTCTCTTCTTGGCTACATGTGAGTGATTGAAGATATTCAAAGATTTGTTGGTCTGTCTCGTGTAATTTCAAACTGCTAAATACAGATATGATTTTTTTTGTTTCAATAATTAGCCTGACTATTAAACTATACTGGATGTTTATTGAATAGTCCAAATGATAATGATTCCAGCTGTTGTAACTGTTGAAATTATGGGGAGTTATCAATCACAATAATATGAGTGGATGAGTCATTATTTTAACTTGGTCTTACCCTTTGAGATATGAAAAGAAATTGAGTCCCTTGTTCCTCGTCAGCAACTTCCAAATTATGAGGCTTTTTGTATTTACTGGGCTTGCTTTGGTACATGTATCAAGACAGAAGGCCTCATGTTAAATTCCAGTCCCAGTTCATGGAGGAATGGGATTATATGATGTTGGGGTGGTGGCACATATCTATCAGAAACATTGCCAGAGTAAATTGAATAATACAAATTTTAACACTAAAACTATTTTCAAAAGTTTCAACATTTCAAGTAATCTGGTTTCAAATTTCTATTAATTAGGTTTGGAAAGATCGGTTTTAATTAAGCAAATTGGTATCAAAGTGAATGGTATCTTAGGCTTCATTTTAACTTGTTGCCTGGATGTACATTGTATAGTTTAGACAAATTGATTCTGATCTTTTGTTTTATTATGTCATCAAAATTGCGGATAACTGCACACTTTTTCTTCAATAAACTTGTAATTGTACCACTAGATAGGTGAACTTTTTCCCAATTATGCTTTGACAAATTAAGATATATTGTATTCATTTCTTTATAAAATGGAGGATACTGCAAGTCTTTATATTGTACTTTGGCATTTATTTGAATCAAAGTTAGGATTTTGTGTGTACAAACTTGTAGAGAGGTACATTTTTTTACACCGTTGTCCATGTACATTTGTATCATGCTGTTAGCCAGTTGCATAATTTGTTTCTCAAAAAGGGAAACTTCCTTAAATTAACATGGTTGAATATCATGAATGTCAAAGTTAAGAATTCTTCAGTGAGAATCACTCATAATTATACTTTGTTTCAAGGGGATTCGGTATGCCAGTCACAGACACCATTAAAAAAGTACCTATTTTGAATACAAAACCACCGGCATGGTAATGTTTTCCATATTTGGTAATAAATACCATAAAACACAATTTTCAAGTTTCAGTATCACTCATGTATTTTGCGTTCTATTTTTTTTATGACGTAGACATGGGTGTTTGTGTGTGTGCATACATGTACACGTACTTGTATTTATCATGGATGATGACCGAAACTTTATTTAGAAAAGTGCACACATTGTAGTGATGTCTGAAATTCTCCCTCTCCCGGCCGCGTAATTTTTATTCCTAGCAGGGTTAGGGGCAATGTCATGAATAATTCATGTTTATCCATGAGAACGGACAATGACATCAACAGCATTGTTGTTAGTTACTCAACTAGTTACAATACATTAAAGCATTTTAAAGAACGGTCTTCGTCGAGCTACCACACAGTAGCCTAGTGGATAGCTATGGATACAAAGATCCCTGGTTCGAATCCACGTCGTCGCTGCTCATTTTCATCAGCTATTTTTCTTCTCCAAATTTATCACTGAGATAATTTTAAATTAAGGGGAAAATAGAACGAGAACCTAAGTCTTGCAATGATTCAAAGGAAAAACTGAATTATTCATGACATTGCCCTAACCCTCGTAGGAAAAAAAATTACGCCTCCCGGCCAAGACAGTTAATCCTAGGTTATTATGTTTTATTGTCTCCAACGGAGAACATGTCCCCCAAGGATGAGGTCACCCACGCGCGACAGTCGCTGGAGCTACTTTTTTCCCCACTCATTTTACGCAGCTTCCACGCGATATTTGCTAGATAGCAAAAAATAATAGAAAAGGAAAGACAAATCACTCCCGTTGGTCAGGAAACATTACGAGTATCAGAAAAAAATAGAACCACTAGTAAAGATTATGGGCGGGGCACGTTTCTCTAGGGAATTCTGTCCCACCGGACCGTTGTGCGGGGGGGGGGGCAGAATTCCTTGCCACGCCGGCACTGTGCCATACATAATAATAGTCCCTGGGATAGGGCCATTTAATCGCAAAATTTTATGATTAATCTTAATATTTTCTGGTACCTTGGGACATCCAAAAATGGTGCTCTTGCACAGCCGGTATTTTTGCCTTCCAGCTCCAAACTGATATTTTGGGAGCTAATTTTTTGAGAAACGGCTAACATATTTTGGGCCTCTGCTCTCTCAAAAATGGTCCCGTCGTGACCTGTTTGCACTTTTTACGATCCTGATAGGATGGATGAACAAGACAAAATATGGTTCGTTCCAAGTTTATCCGTATTCGTGTTCCCAGGGCAAATATTGCTTTGCGGACACCCCCCAAATCCTGTGACTTTGCCCTGTTTGGGGACAGAAATGAGTTTGAAAATCACACTTATACCAAAGATACACACTTTCTTTATAATTTAAAAACTGCCTGAGACCACAAACTTTAATTTAAGTGGTAGATAAGCTTTCTGTCTTGAAAATTGGGCTCGCTATGGCCATTTTTGATTCCCCTACCCCTAAATCACTCAAAACGGCTGTATAGTGGGTGGCATAGCAAACCTATTGTGCATTTTATGATAACAGTGCCAAATTTGGTACGGAGATAGACCAATATCATATCAACAAATGTGGATATTGGAGCATCGCAGATCTGGCCCTTGAGGGCTGTGGGAGCCATCATTTCAAAAGTACTGAGTCATGCTGAGTCAGCACTGTTTCGTAATCGTTTTCTTTGCTATTAAGAACAGGCCTATATATACGCACTGGGATACTTTTTTCAGGTGGGGGCCGAACATGAACCCACCTCCCCCCCCCCCCCCCCCACGATCCTCCCCCCCCCCCCCCCCCCGGGCCAATGCCCCACATTCCCGAACGTGTCCAATCTGTCCATAGAAAATGGATTTGTTTGTGCATGTATTTAATTCATTACACGTTTTTAGTGCAGCCCGGGCATGTTGGTAAACGGGTCCAACTTAATGAAGTCTTATATAGCTATAGAAACTTTTTGAAATTGCTTCCACACAACAAAATAAGCAAAATGATACCAATGAATTAGAGATATAACATTTCTGTTGGTTTGGAAAAAAACGGATGACAAAAAGTGGCATAGTGGGGGTGAGCCTCCACAAACTGACCTCCCCCAACGGCGAATTAAAGGGGGAGGGGGGGGGCAACAGGGCCATGCCCCTCTTTTTTTTAGTAACGTCGCTAAAAAGGCAGCTGTTGCATACACCACCCACAAAACTCAACAAAAACAATAAATGTGCACCTCCTCCCCATGTTTTTCACATTAAATTTGGGGCGGACATTTTTGGACACATTTTTTCTTCGACTACATCCCCCCCCCAAAAAAATTGTGTTTTAATATAGAAAGCAAGGGGAGGGGGTTACATATTTATTGTTTTGGTTGAGTTTTGTGGGCGGTGTACGCAATAGCTGCCTTTTTGAGCGACGTAACTAAAAACAAAGGGGGGGGCATGGCCCCGTTGCCCTCCCCCTCCCCCTTTAATCCACCGTTGGGGGAGGTCAGTTTGCAGGGGCTCACTACTATGCCACATTTTGTCATCTGTTTTTCCCAAACCAACTAAAATATCATAATTCATTGGTTGTATTCGTTTTGCTTATTTCGTTGTGTGGAAGCAATTTCAAAAAGTGTCTGTAGCTGTAAGACTTCATTAAGTTGGACCTGTCACTGACCAACATGCCCGGACTGCACTAAAAACGTGTAATTAATGAAATACATGTACAAACCAATCCGGGAAAGTGGGACATGGCCCCGGGGGAGGGAGTATCGTGGGGGGGGGGGGGGAGGCGGGTTCATGTTCTGGCCCCCTTCCCGAAAAAAATTATCCCAGTGCATATATAGGCCTTTTCTTTTAGCAAATGTATATTGTTATGTGCTCCGTAAGTTTTCTCTAAATGGTGTTCCCATGCCATATTTTCACTTATTTGTAAATAATAGACAACAAATGCAGCATATTTGGAATGTGCATAGATATTGTTGACAGTCCAAACCCCCCCCCCCCACCCCTCCAACTTTTAACCAGCTTGTTCCTCGATCGACACCCCATAAATAACAAGGAATCACCATCGCTGAATTTTACAAGCATGTCTGTATAGGGAAACTAAGGTTGACAGTGATAAAAATTACCTAGAATTTTTTTTGTTCACCAAAGCTTGAAACAGAATTGCATTTTTAAAAAAATGATGATTCAGCATTTTTTGTGACTAAAATCAGTTGATTTTTATTTGTGGGGCAAGCTTTCTGCCAGGCCCATTCCTGCTATGTTACTGGAAGGTCTTCTTGAAACATTGCCAGGACGTCATTTTTGGCGAGTCAGAACTTGAATTCCCAACTAACTTTGTGTAGGTCTACATATACATCTGTATTCTACATTACAGTGAAGTACAATTCTTGCAGGTGTAGCCAGGCCTGACAGCTGGCAGGCATTATTAAGGTTTTTTTTTCAATGACGTATTGAAAGAAAATCCATTGTTTATGCCTGTTTCGCATCCAAGCGTGTAGAAAAAAGGCAGAAAACCATGTTAGCCTCAATATTGCACGAGAAAACGCATTACAAAATAGTGCTGTCTCAGCATGACTCAGTACTTTTAAAATGATGGCTCCCACAGCCATCAAGGGCCAGATCTGCGATGCTCCAATATCCACATTTGTTGATATGATATTGGTCTATCTCCGTACCAAATTTGGCACTGTTATCATAAAATGCACAATAGGTTTGCTATGCCACCCACTATAAAGCCGCTTTGAGTGATTTAGGGGTAGGGGAAGCAAAAATGGCCATAGCGAGCCCAATTTTCAAGACAGAAAGCTTATCTACCACTTAAATTAAAGCTTGTGGTCTCAGGCAGTTTTTAAATTATAGGGGCCTAAAGAAAGTGTGTATCTTTGGAATAAGTGTGAGTTTCAAACTCATTTCTGTCCCCAATCAGGGCAAAGTCACAGGATTGGGGGGGGGGGGGGTGTCCGCAAAGCAATATATGCCCTGGGATCACGAATACGGACCAACCATATTTTTTCTTGTTTTTTGGAGCTGGAAGGCAAAAATACCGGCTGTGCAAGAGCCCCATTTTCGGATGTCCCAAGGTACCCTACAACAGAAAATAATATTAAGATTAATCATAAACATTTTCGGTTAAATGGCCCTATCCCAGGGACTAATAGCACTTTACTTCGAACTTAAGATAATAATTTGATTAAAAAAATAGTGTGTACAAGATGGTAAGTTTGCCCATGAAGAAGCGTTTTTAATTTTGTGTGAAAACCAGTGATGAGAATTGAACGTAACTGAAACTATGTCCCTTCTCGATCTGGAGGATGCTGGAGTCGGTTGGAATCACGTAGTCTTGCTACAAGACTGGATTTGGATTTTATTCCCCTAGTATCTAGGGAGAGTAAAAAATAAATGTTCCTTTTTATAAGTTCTTGTCTCCCACAAAAACGGGAAAAGTAACTAGTTTTGTTTCTCTTCATCCAACATTCGGTCTGGATATTGAAGACAGTCAGTATAATTTCACTGATATTCAGACAATGAAAAGAGGCCTTCCTTTGTGACTACCCAACTGAAAACACTGTACCAACACAATGTTCAGAATAAGCCTTTTGCTATCGACTCAATGACAACTATGGGCATCTGGACAATGAAGGAAATAAAAGGAATGGCAGAACAGGACATCAATTAAATGGAATAACATTTATTGAACTTGAATCTGAATTACAGATAAGGTTCGCATTTTCACTGTCCTGCTGCTCGACCTTAGTTCACCTGTCTGTCATTCAGATCAATGCATTGTGCCCGTGACATGTCTGCAATAGCTCTGCGGACCATCCGTGTTCTTCTGAGGGCTTGGATTTCAACAGTAATTTGTTGGCGAACTTTCCCGCACGGTGTTTGGCACAATGCAGTACACCCGGTCCTTCAGGTAGGCCTACCCCCAAGAAAAAAAACAGAGGGGGTAAGATCTGGCGATCTTGGCGCCCCTTGTTCGGGTTTTAACTTGCGCCATTTTGTCCGTATTTTACAACATTTCTGCAATGTCCGATCGTTCGGCTGCCGTACCTCCTGAAGGTGTTCTCCAAATTGACCTATCGTGTCTTGTACGTTTCATAAAACGTTCTGACCATCAAGGCCCTTTGGACAATGGCCTTGTCATGGCTACTTTAAAATGTTCAACTTGCAGTGTGCTGACCATTAAATAATGTTAAATATCCGGGCCGCCCCATTGTGTTCTGACCAACCATTTCCCGTGATGTCCGGCATGCGTGACGCACGCGGCCGGAAACGTGAGTGGGCGTGGCCCAGTGGATCGGTCTATTTCCTGGATAGCGTTGTCAAAGTTACCAAGACTGGATGTGATTTATCTTTAGTGTTAGCTGACTACTGCCGCGGTGGCTTGACCCTTTATGGTCCGTGCTGCGCACTCACTATGCACTGGAGAGCGGTGAATCGCCTCCCCCGGGGGAAGGGGGGGGCAGCAGTGGCGTAGCCAGGAATTTTTCAGTGGGGGGGGGCGCTTGGGGGGGGGCTGGAACATTTCATGGGGGGGCGTCATGCAGGGGCGTCAATCGCTTCTCAAAAGTGGGGGGGGGGCGGACATACCTTGATCAGAACTGATGCGAGCGCGAAGCCCTTACGGCGTGGGGTTCGGGGCCCGCTTAAGGGCCCCGAAAAAAATTGGATTCTCGATGCTCTGTGGTGTGATCTGAGGCAATTTCTTACCACTTTAACCAATAATTATCTTAGCACAAAAGATAATAATTTAAACATAATTTTCGAGGTTTTCTCAGCTAAAGGCATAAGAATTGTTTTTGAACATTGTTTTCGAGGTTGGAGTCATTGAATCAGCTACCAGAATTCTGAGCTTTAGGCGTGGGGTTCGGGGCCCGCTTAAGGGCCCCGAAACATTTTGGATTCTAAATGCTCTGTGGTGCTATCTGAGGCAATTTCTGACCACTTTAACCAATATTTTCTAAGCAAAAGATACATTGTAGTACATAATAGGGCCCTGTAAATGAGACACGAGTTCAAAAATCTGGGGGGGGGGGGAACATTTGATATTGTGTCCCCCACCCTTCAAAAAGGGGGGGGGGACATGTCCCTTGTCCCCCCCCCCCCCCCCCCCCAGGATTGACGCCCATGGCGTCATGTAGATCAATGATAATTTTTTTTAGAAACTCAAAATCTCAGTGGGGGGGGGGGCGACTGGGGGGCGACAAGGTTTCATGGGGGGGGGGCGGTCGCCCCCACGCCCCCCCGGTGGCTACGCCACTGGGGGGGGGGGGGGGGGCAGCTAGTTGCCGCGTTCGCTCGTACCCCCCGCCCTTCAAACAGGAGCGAAGTTGCCGCGGCGGTAGCGAGATGATTCAAATCCAGTCCGACAAATTCGGAGCACACCTCAGCCGCGCCGCGCGCGTAAGGTATGCTCGGAATATCTTGGGTCCGCTGCCAAAGTTCAATGCTAGGGATTGGGACCGGCAGCAAAATGCGTGGTTTGATTGATTACTTTCTTCTGAGTCAGAAAATCCCAATTAGCATTTAGAATTTCTTTTAAGTTGAGATAGTTCTGATAAATGATTATTACCTTCACTTTACCCAACTGGAAGTTTGTCAGATTTTTTCTTCTTATTTTGGGCACATTTTGAAGGGTTCAATGCGGCACTCATGAGTTCAAAATAAAATCGGAAAATCACGCCAAAATAAATGTCTCTCTTAACTTTGTAACGGGTATGTAAACTCAAGATTAATGAACGGGATCGGAATGTTTAGAGTTTGATGAAATTTTACTTATTGGGAATGGGGCGCGGCCGGCGGGAGGGCTCTCTCAAGTGGAAAATGGCCTTGTTATTAAATTTCGGTCACTGCCGCATGGGGTGGGGGCGGACACCCCCTCCACACCCCTGGATCCGCCACTGGGAAATTTAAGGTAAAACTATTGCTTACTCAGCATTCAGCAAGGCACTATATTTGGCGAAAAGTCAACTAAGTGCGCCATGTAAGGGGCCGCGCCACCGTGCCATCAACAATATATAATTTTATTTTTGGCATAAGTTGAGCACAATAGGCCCAATCAATAGCGCCCTCTAGGGCCAAGTCGGAATATCCTAGGCAAAAACTTAGCCGCACATCGACACCAGCAGGATTTAGACAGGTAAAATAATCTGATCATGTTTATCATGTTATTTCGAAAATTATTGTGAAGTGTTTGGTACATATTATTACAAAATGTATACTATTATCTCGGGACTTGATAGGCCTACTGCAACAGACATTCACATTCATCATGATGATACAAATGCATAGCGCCATTAATTACAAATGAACAAGCAAGCACTGTGCCAATGCCAATCAATGCCAATGTCATGAATGTAAGCAGGGTAAGCCCGGCCTGGCTCTCTAGTGGTTCACTTCCCACCCCCACCCCCTCCCCCCTAGGTTTGTGCATATAGTCTATGCACAAACTTGGGGGGGGGGGAAGGGCAGTGAACCACTCAAGCTTTTAATTATTATATTCGGAAAGATTCCCATATCTGTCGCCCTTCCCCTTTGCACAAACCCTAGTGGTATGACTGAGACTGGTCTGAAAAATGTTAAGTGTTTTTTTCAAATCTAGGGGAAAAGTTCCATACTCGGATGCCAATTTATCTGCTGCCAAACATATTAATTGTCACCTCACCTTGTCATTTGAATCCAAGAGAAATCCAGGAAGCTGTGTTAAGGTGAAAAAATTTACTCAAAATGTGTTTTTAGAGCACATTTTGGATGCATACGTCGTGCAGAACTAACTTGAAGCAGCCGGTCAAAACTGATTGTAGTGGCTGAAAGACAGCGGTACGTTATACACGTGACATCAACAACCATGACGTCGCATGAGCCTGCCAATGATAGTGCAATACGTCATTATGAATATTTATTTTCTCATGAATATTTAGTTTATTTCAATGGATACTTCAAATACGTCCAAAGATTGATTATTGCAACAGCGATCGTGCGCGGCCTAGCGGTTAAGAGTCTCGTGTGTCAAGCAAGCGTCAGAGGTTCGAATCCCGATGAAGTAACTGACTGATTAATAAATAGAAATTAAGGAAAGGAGAGGGTGAGAGTAGAGGAGGGAAAGTGGAGGAATAACCATAAAAGATGTAACTTTTGGCGCTAGAAAATTAATTGAAAAAAGTGACGTCCGAGTATGGAATTTTTTCCAAATCTAGTTACTCTGTGTTAAATTATAGCTCCATGCTCCTACTACTTCACTATTTTCCCTGCTAAATTTTAATTTTTAGGACATATACTTTCTGATGGCTGATACTGATAGTGATACTAGGTCACTGAAGGGAAAAATTAGTGATGACCAGATATATGGGAATCTTTCCTTATTTTCTTCAGTATTTTTCAAAAATTAACTGACCATCGATTTAGTCCGAGTAACTTGGACCCAACTTATTGCCTTTTTAACATTCGGACATGGTCTGGCGATAGTGGGGTCCAAGCTAATAGTGCGAGCTGGACAACACAATTCTGTCACTGTCCCAAGAACCAACATTTTCCAACAAAAACATCAGATTTCACCCTCAAAACGGCCTCCAAATTACTAAATACGGCACCTGAGGCACAAGTAGACATCGATAATTAAGATAGTTGTACTAAAGTTTACTTACGATCCGGATGAAAAGTGAAATTTCCCGTTCAATTCCGAGAGCTCCCCTCGCGATCTTGAACACGTTAAATTTCCGACTCGTGTTAATGTTTGAACGACGCGATTTGGTCTTCATGCCCAGTGTATATTCGATGGTCCCCGTATCCCGAGTGAGATTCCGTTACCGAGCGCGCGCGATGCATCGATTATGATAATGAGTCACGTTTGTAAACACAAGTGCATTTCGAACGGTAAAAGGGAATCGGGAACCAGCTTGAACTGGTATCTGCCATAAGAGCTGCCCTAGTTCCCGACTCCCTATTATCGTTTGAAATGCACTTGTGTTTACAAAGTGATCCAGTCTACTCATTATCATAATCGAGCGCGAGCTCGGTAATGGAATCGCACTCGGAGAACTGTAGGAGAACTGCAACTGCGCGCAATCAAGCACGCATTGCGCAGTGTTGGAAATGTTCCAAACATGCGCGCTTGTTGCTCGAAACGTGTACGAAATACGACGCAGCCAATGCGCGCTATGCAAGTTGACGCCCAAATAAATGCTGATGATTGTGGATGGTCTGTAGGAAATGACGTCATTTAAACGAGACCTATATGAAACAATATTGATAGTGTAAATGCAACAAATTACCCCTAGAACTATGGGGCTCCAGTCGAACTCTAGTTCGACTAGTGCCCCATAGACTAGTTCTAGGGGTATGCAATGTACAATGTGAAAAGATTAGCACTATATTCTCGATATTTAATGAGGAGGAATCAAATGCTTGTAGCTTGTAGACTCCATAACACAAACAGTAGTCCATATCTGGTTAAAAAAATGTGATTGTTGTAAGATGCTAGTCCAAGGTAACTTAACCATGTTGACCAAAGCAAAACAAACCTGCCTCTTTAAATTTGGAAATGATGACCAGATCATATTATCTAACGGTTACAAAGTAATTTGTAGGGTCCAAAGTTACGTACATACACTTAAATTACAGTGCTTGGGGTAAGTGTACACAGCTGGGGATGTGGAAGGGGAGGGGACTTGCAGGTCCCCCCTCCCCCTCTACATTAGGCCCCGTGCTACTGACGAAACTATTGATACATTCAGCTATGATTATTAGTAACGTAGCATCACAGAATGTAGAAGTAAGGAGTCTTTTTTAGAATTTTGGTTAGAATTTTTGGTTAGTATCTGGTTGTCATTTCAATCTGAATGATTGTTTGTCAACAAAACATTGCAAATATTATTTGTGCTGTAACCATGACAACCATCGTGAGAACTATTGCATGTTTTCACTCCATATATGTATACATGTAATTATGGCCCAAACATTACAGAAAGCTCACTACAAACTTTTAAGAACAAACTATTTTAGATATTGATTTAAGAATCTTTAGATTGATATCAGTGCATACATAACATGTCATCAGCTATCCAAATTAATCACTAATTTGGATAGCTGATAAGACGTTATGTATGCACTTACATTTGAAGTTGTTCCTTCCTCTAACATAACCACCAGTTGACAAATTCTTGACACATTTGTTATCCATTACTAGGAACTTCTCAGCTATGGGTGCATGTATGCCTTGTTTATTTGGCAGTGCTGATGATTATGACCAAGACCAACCAGATGAGGTGAGTATTAGAAATGTGCAAGCCCCTTGTACCCTAAGTCTGAACATGACTGAGACCCAAGTTGTAACCAGCCGACATGCAGTTTCTGCAGGTTTAGAATGACCTTAGGCCAAAAAAAAAAGTCTCCGGTTTCTGGTATGGAGATTGCCCAAAAAGTGGTGCGGCGACGCGGCTTTTTTTTTTTTTTTTACCTGATTTTTTTGCTTCAAATGTCGGCTGATGACTGCAAATGGTGCCCAACTAAACTTAGTGCAAATATATGGGAGTCCAGAGAGGCCACATAAAGCTTATTCTCGACCATAACCCAATCTAAAAACACGTTAAAATTGTGCAGCAGCAGGATTCCAGTCAAACCAGTGAGTTTGGCGGTTTTGAGACATCATCTTTCATTGAAAAAAAAAACGTTTTCATTTTGCCTACGCGCATGGCTACGGCGACGCGTGCGCATACCAGAAACCGGAGACTTTTTTGGGGGGCCTTAGTCTCTTATCCGGGAAATGTGGCATCCAGGCATGAAGATTGCTATCAAACTTTCCCCATTTCATGATGTTGAGGAAAACACTATTCAAGGAATCATTATTCCTTCCACAGTTTAGACTGTGATTGCCATCTGCAAAGAGAAATGCTGGCCTCCAAAATTCCTCATAATGTTATACTTCTGGTGTCTTTTTTTTTCTGGACAGGAAACCAGACGTCAACAGCAAGCTGAGGCTGCGCAGAAACGCATGAAACAGGTTGGTCTACATGTTCCCTTATGGAACAGCAGCATTTGGGGAAATTTTTTCTCCCTGTGCAGTTGCTATTTTGAAGAAAATTATTACTGCCATTATTGAATGGAAGATCACAGTATATTTTTGTAATTTTCATTGATTTTTGACTTGAACATTTTTTTTATAGAATGTCAGGCAAGTCAGACAGGCAGTCAAAAGTTATGACAACAAATCAAAACCATGATTAAGAAAAATTGAACTCCAAGTTGAGAAAAAGAAGTAACTGTAAGATAAAATTATTCAGTGAAACAACAAAATATTGAAATCTTTTTTTTTTGTGACATTGATTTCACAGTTTGTCATCTTCCTGATGGTGCAGTACCCTAATGTGGTGTAGTGCACATGAACATTTTGACCATTTGCATATACCTGCTGAAATGTTAACATGAACACTTTGATATGATTGTCCTACCAGGAGGAGTCTAGAGGATTAGCAGACCCTGAAGGTGCAAAGAGACGACAACAACAAAAAGAAGAAGCCGAGAAGAAAGCTGAAGCACTTGAGCAACAAGGAGGTGGTGAAAACAAACTTTCGGTAAGTATAAACACATTGAATATTCCTGTATGTTGAGGGTCTATTATATGTGGCTTGCATTAAGCATAAATTTGTTTAAATCCCAAAGTTGTTGTTTGAACCAGCTGTGAAGTGCAAACATGACATCTCTAATGTTTGAAAACGTAACATCTCTAACCAGTTTTTCAATGACACTTGTTCACTTCATCAAATGTCTCTCTCTTATCAACTGCAAGTACCGTCGGTAAAAGAACTCTAAAGGAACTCTAGAGGATGCCAAACAGCAGCATGCTGATTGTGTTGCAAAGTCTATTGCAGCTGACTTGTTTGGCTCTTGGGACTTATAGATTGTCATCTCTGTTTCATCAGCATGAGGTTCTCACCTCTCTTTATATCAGGCCTTCCTCTTTGGACATGTTTTATCGAATTCCTCTTTGAACTTGCTCAGATCCCATCCCACACACTAGACTTCCATACTCAAGGCCTGTTATCCATCTGAGCAGGTTGCTAGAATAACACACACCCTAGACGCTTCTAAGTCACTAGGAACTGTTGTAATCCTGTTCATTGTCCTCACTGGCCCCAATTCTTGCCCAGCATTACAATCTTGGCTTGTCTGATTCAGCTTTTGCTTCCTCGAAGTAGAATGCTTGTCTTCTGCTTGTTTTTAATCGCACATTTGAGCGTTAAGATATTCTCCAAACCCCAGTCTGCCACACCGTGATTTTCACCCAGCAACCAAAGGAACAAAATGGTCAGTGAGCCAGTATTCTGAAGGATCCGACCTGTGTCTAATAAAAATGTGCACATGTTACAAAACCTGGATGAATTGACTTAATAATGCACAGTTGGGGAAGATGAATTGTATTTTTCAAACAGAAGGTACTGACACTTGATATGATGGTTTATTTGATTGCAGTGGCAAGTTGGTTGAGTTGAAGTCACTGTAAACTTCCTGGAGAAGATCTGCTAATGGACTGCCAATGTGATGTGTCTGTGTATATATCACCATTCACATGCTATTTATTACATAAGTGAAATCCAGAAATTCAGGCTTTTGCAACTTAGCCTTGTAATTACGGTGGTGTTTTAATACGTTGCCTTTATATTTTTGTAAGCATAATCAATTGTTGAAAACAAGTGTTTCTTTCCCACGAGATGCGTTCATATATCAACTCTAATTACCAATAATTTTGTTTCATATTTTAGTGTAGAAAACTTGTTTTAAATTGAAGTAGAAGTCAACATTAATTAAATGTGTACAAAATTGAATAAACGTGCTCTGATCCTAAATGTACCTTAACATGCACTGGCTATCCTCAGCTAGAATATTGTTATATATTTTGTGTAAAACTCTCAACTGCATTTGAGACAAGAAGAAACATCAAAACAGATGGTTCTATGGACTTGTAGTGTTTTAAGTTTCAAGACCAAGATTGATTTATATCACAACATTATATCAGTGATAGCCTGTGATTAAAGGTCTACTTGTTTAAACTTGAAAAAAAGTTCCATCATTTTTAATAGTTGAAATATCTTTTTGAAAAGTATCCAAATCGTCTTTGGTAAACCTTTCTTGAATCAAACATTCATAACCAAACCTACATGAATGTATTTTTAAAGATGTTATGTTTTTGTCATTGATGTAAAATGCATAAAACTGCTAACAATGCACATAGATGCTTGCTTTGCTTGTTGAGCAGATATATTCGTATTCAGTTGTATGTTGAATGTTAACTAGTTGCTTGTCTTGCATGTGTAAAGCACAGTTGATATTGATACATTGTGATTAATTGATTGCTATGGGAACAAAAGTTGGAGCAAAGAAGCTCAAACAAACATACAAGACAAATTTATTCTTCAAATGCAGACAACCAGTACAGTGTAGCAGTGTATGTCCATCTAAAGTGTGCATGTATTAGCAGTGCTGGCACTGTGGCATATAATACATTAATGTGTGGTTGATTTATCTGCAATTACAGATGCACACCACCTACAAATTGCGTATGATTTATGTATAAAATGAGAATATCGATGATGCCTTGATAAGATGAGGCTATGCTGAAGCAAGTTGTTTTATTCAGATTTGGACTGGTAGGTCTAGCACAGTTTAGTTTTGTGTGTTGTGTGGAGATTACAGAATTAAGGGAACCATGACACTTTTGCTTTGGACAGTCATATTCGAAAATTATGAGTGGTGTTGTATAGATTTTCTGTCAATATATTATATATATTATAAAAGTATAAATAAATATAAAATTCATTTTGAATGCCAAAAAAATAAGATTAAGATTCATGATTGACAGAGTTGCTCTCCCATCGAAAACCTAATGTACCAATATTGTAAGAAATGTTTGACACTACATTTTAATAGTCAACATCAACTTTCACTGTTGAAAATGTTTTTCTCTATAAAAAAACGTCCTTTCCAAAGAACCGACTAAGGGACTTAATTCTTATATTCTAATACTTGCCAACACTTGAATTATCCTGATGAAAAGCCCAGCTTGTAATATGTGCAATTTTTGAACCTGTTTGACGTGACTGATTTTGTGAACTGACCTTGTATTGCTCAGCTTGTTAGTCTGCAAATTCAAGTGGACAGAAGATCAAATGTCAGAAAATATCATCTTTAATATTCAGTGATAGTCAGTGTCCATTATTCAGTAATGTTTGTTGTTATCCTACAAGCTAGTTGCCTTTCATACCAAAAGTCTCTACCACACAAGGTGGTCTAGGTGTGGTTGTCAGTGATAGCTGTGATCGTATTTTACTACAAAGATGTATAGGGAGGGGAAGGTAGTCTATGTAATAGACCCTGGCAAAGCAACCATGGTCTTTGATACGTAAACAGATTCGACGATTACTTATGCAACTTGACTGCGTATGACCTAGAGAAACTGACCAATCAGCAGGCGCCTTCTATACGCGCGTAATTGGAGCTCCCCGTATGCATAAACATCACGGCGCACGATGAGTAGCATTTTTGTACAGGTTGTTGTATTGCAAAAACGTGGCATCAAAATTGACCAATCACAATCTAAGTCCTGATTTCGGAATGAAATGATGTCACGCATGCTTAGATATAACAGACATCATACATGAGACTTGGCTCCGTGGATAACGGGTGATACTCATACTAAGGGGAAGGCACCCCACCCCACAAATTTCCAGCACCCCCCCCCCTCCCTCACCCCCAAAAATCCATGAATTTTGCCTCTCACCCAAGAAGTGTCTTTTTTAAGCAATTAAATCAGAAGAGGAATGTAGATGACTAATTTTTTACTCGATGCTAATGAGCCTATAAAATGTCCCCCCCCCCCCCCCCCCCCCGGCCGCCCCAGGTCTGGTTGCAGGATTTGGTCACGTTTTTCATGCCCCAGGGTGGGGATTTTGGTCACTCAAATTACATGTACATCGTTAACATTGGCGTACTACATGGAAAGGCAATCACTAGTACAGTGCGCCCCATGTATGTATGAATTGGGGTATGGTCGGGGATTGTCACTTAAATTTTGCCCGAGGGGTGGGGATTTTGTCACTTCAAAAGTGACAATCCCCACGTCTTGGGTGAGGCAGCTGGGGGTGGAGGGGTGGGGGAAACAATTGATAGGCGCATAATTGACCTCATTGCTGTTTGTGAGTTAGCCACGCCCCTTAGACAACCCTATGGATTTTTTGTACACTAAGTTTTGTTTGTCTCAGATTTTGTGCGTTCTGCGTCCTATTTGTATATCATGCAATTGGACAATTTTCACAAACTGTTGATGCGATTCAACAGCGATAGGTTAATTCCCTTGACCCTAAGTGTATTAAAATTCTAATTAATGTAATAGGAAATAATTATGAGTAAAGTTCTGAGAAGAAAAGAGCAGCCTCTAGCTTCTGATTTCTGTTTCCCCGTTTAAAAAAAAAAAAGTGCTGGAGTGGGGGAGGGGCTCCCCCCCCCCCCCCCCCCCCCCCCCCCAATTAAACTACCCCTGCTCATGGGCATCGCCAGGATTTTTTGCTAGAGGGGGCAAAGCCCATTTTTCCCCCAAAAAATCCCTATATTTTCCAGCATTTTCCCGATTGATTATTTTTTCGAGGGTGGGCAGGAGGGGGGAAGCGCCCCCCCCCCCCCCCTCGCGACCCCCATGCCCCTGCTCCGCCCATAGGCGCGGGTTCGGTACAGGTAGGTTTGCTTGCCGACTCGTTCAGCCCTTACATTTATACGGACAGTCTGGTACCGAGCTGCGCCGCGCCGTGTACGTGTACAGACAGTACACAAAAAAAAAACACAATAAAGATGGCGGCTATTTGTACCTGATCATCGTCATCATGCATGCTGCATTAAGGTGATCACATCTCTTTATCTTTTTTTCCAGTTATTCTTATCATCTATGAGATAATGCAAACATTATATCAAAATGTTATCTAAGAAGGAAGTATGAAGTGTATTCATTCCACGAAATACAGCGCGGTGGTTTATTTTTCAGACCTCACTTTTTGACCAGCCAGTTTGTTCATCATTCATGTTCATCTGTTCATGGTTTGTTGAACATGTTCAATGTTGAATGTTGAAACTAACTTAGGCTACTTTGAAGTTACTATTAAAGTTTGTCATCCTGCTTAAATCATGTTATTTAATAAGCCAATTCGTTATTCCAACTGCACATGTGCACATCAAGGTTTGATATATAGTGGATATTTTGCCGGAGGTAATGACGGCAAACTAACGTTTACTAAAGGTTTGCCGGCGGTAATCCATATCAACAGAGGGCGCTGTACTCTTTAAGTATGTAGCACATTTGGTGTAGTGGTTACTTAACGACTTTAGTAAGCGGGATGGCCCGGGTTCAATCCCGCTCTCGGCCACATTTTAAAGGTTTTTTTTCCCATCCCCAAATAAATAAGAATATTCTTCTTTTATTATTTTAACATGTCTCAAACATTTTATTGCAGAGTATTACATTTTCTTTTTCAGATTTGTGGCTCTGGAGGATTTTTTTAAATTAAAGGGAAATAAAGTCCGAAATTATAAAATGGTCTGATTCCCATCTTGTGAATACGAAGTTACAACGATAATATTGGCATGGAGCCAGACTAAAATTTGTCACCGGAAAATGTTTAAGTACAAAAAAACAGTAACTGCGCATGTTCAGTGCATATCCGGCAAACTAACGTTTACTAAAGGTTTGCCGTCTCCGGCAAAATATCCACTGCCTTAATTTAATGTTTTTAATCAAATCCTACTTTTTATTGAAATAGATTTCATTTTCTTCTTCGTATTCTGTATTTGTTTAAATGGAAATATTAAAGTCTGAGAACCATTCGGTAAATAGGCTAGTCTGGTTCCAAGAGTCAAAGATCCTGATGTTGAATACTATAGGTCAGGGAACCAGACAGTCGACATTGGCTCCGATGAAATCAGATGCGAAAAAATCAAACATGTTTGATTTCATCCGGTGATTCTGAAATCAATCGGAAACCAGCTCAGAGTCAAATTTACACTGCCTTTAAAATCTAAATTGTAACTTTAACCTGTGATGGTGAAGACAGGGTAAAGTACCAGTTGTGAAGCTGTTGTGGACTTTTAAATTCTTACAAACAAACAAACAAACAAACAAATCCACTATGTGACTGTGAACCAGTCCCTGATTTGTTTCACTCTTGTCCTGGCACTGCACTGAACATGCGCAGTGAAGGTTTTTCGGACTTTAAACAATTTACCAGGAGAAACCTTTTTCTGGTTCCACGCTTACATTGTCCTTGTAACTTTGTATTCAGGAGATGGGAATCAAACCTTGCAATTTCTTCCATAGCCATGAATCAGAAAGAAAAGATGAAATATTGTAAATGTAGGATTTGATTTAAACTAATAAAGGTCGAAAATAAGTATCCGTTGGGAATTTAAAAAATAAATAATATTGAGCATGGGTCTCGAACCCGGATCACTGGAACTACAGTCCAACGTTTTTCCATCTCATAATGTGTACATGTATTGCGATGTGCAGAGGATGACAGGAAGTGCCGAAACAAGACCTTATCAATGCACTGTAAACACTCTGTTATTATTTGGTATTTTGATTTTAAAAATGAGCACTCATTGCTAAGTTTAGCAAATTAAACGCCATCCCTTCTCAAAAATTTGATTAAAAAACAACAATAGAACATTCATTTCCCTTTGGGTTGTGCTTCTTTCACAGGTGTTAGTTGTTAAGTTTGTGACGAAACAATCAAATTGCAAGCTGATGAACTGATGTAAGATGCAATGATGTCATCATCCAAGCAGAAAGGAAAGGGCTCTGGATTAGCTAAACAAGATTCAAAGAAAAAAGGTACTACACACTAAAAATCAAATAAGTCGATCGTACCTACGTCTCACCTCTTTTTACTTATTTGACTGATTAAACCTGTGTAAAGAAGGGAAATTATGTACTGTTCAATTTGATGTAGATTCTATAAATTTCAATTACTATAAAGAGTAGGTTCATTATTTAGATGAGTCGTTTATTGTTTTGAGGGACAAGTGAGACCATTGGTAAAAGTTATTTGTTTGTTTTTAGAATAAGATTGAATTTGATATGTATTTAGTTATTTATTTGTTTAACTGATGTTTATGTCACGATGCAATGGTTATATGCCAGTAATTGCAAATGTAGTTGATATTCTCTTGGATGGAAACATTTAAACTTTGCAAACATTTTCCCCACATAATAATACTTCTATGTGCACACTATGTGCACACTATTTGCATATAATTATTTAGCATTGAAAATACACGCAGATCCAAAAACTCAAAGTGGTATCACTCTGAGATCATGTGAATGTTTTTGTCTCCAGTGACAGAGCCCAGTGCCAAAGGTACATGTAAGAGCCCACATGCAGCCACTTATAAACCACTTAAAGGCAAGTCATTCTACTTGGATGTACGGAGACAGGCTGCTAAACTGAAGAAAGATCTTGAGGATCTGGGTGCAGTAAGTACAGCCTCTTAAATTATGTCAGTTTTAGGTGCATCACCTTGTTGATTTACTCAAGCAAATGCCGAGTGATCGGCTTGTAAGGTTTTGGTTTTTTGACTTAACAGCCTGAATATAGTACATGTATTCCAATTAATTTGGAAATCCTCTTTTAATTTTTTCCTGCCATTACAAAAGTTATGAGCTTTCTAATCCAAATGAAACCAATTTAACAATAATAACAGTTGTTGTTAAATTTCAAAATTTGAAAAGAAGAGCATTCCACTCCTAATTCAGAATGTATTGATGTATTTCAGTCTTTGAGCAAATTGAATCTAAATTGAGTGCAGAATGAAGCAGGTTATTTTAACATATAAAAGTGCAATGTATAAAAAAACATCTGCAGAGAGCAATGTTTTCAGTGCATCTGATGAAGTAGTTGTTGCTGCAAAGCTAATGCAATTATTTTCCTTATTAGTCATCAAAGTGATATTTAATTTTTAAGTGAACTATTACAGAATTCTGTGCCAAACCTACCAAATACCAAAATATAAACCTCTTTTAGAAACCTTTAATAGTTATGTCTATACTTGTGAATTTGTTTCCTATTGTTTGAGGTCTTTGGTTTTGTTATCAGGTTGTAGAAACCTTTCTCAGCAAGGATGTTAGCTATGTTGTGTCTGATCGGCCTGAAGTCCGATTAGAATGTTCTAAGAATGCAGTGTCATTGCATTCTGCAGCTAGTCCTGCTGTGTCGACGCCTAGTCCCTTCAATCAAAGCAAAGAGTAAGTTGAGTGCTGCACTTTCAATTATTAGATTTCAGATACTTGACACATTAAAACTTATCTCTGCAATTCTAAGTTACTTTCAATCAAAGTTCTGACATAAATGCATCAATAGATTGGCCTGAGATCATTTCCAGGCACTATTTATTGAGCATCCTGCATACAGGAATCTTTGCTCTTGGTCAACTGCATTTAGTTAGTATGAAATTATAGTGCCAACAAAACAGTCCAATTTGCAGCTCCATGGGAATGAATCAATGAAACAAACGATCCAATAATAACAAATAAAGCTGTTATAACATCTCAAATTACAGCATAGTTCAAGGTAGGATTTTTTGCAAAAATTGTGTAATGCCTTGTAAAAGGATTAACATTTGTCTTTTGTATTGATTCCTATGGACACGGTAATGTATTTTGTCTTTTCTATATACCAGTTCAGGGAATGGAGCTGCAGATTCTGGAGGGAGAGAAGGCATGGTAAGTTGGTACATGTCAACTGCACTGTCCATCTTCTTCAACAAATTCAATATTTTGCCTGGCTGATTTTCAACTTGTTAAAAACTCCTTTTTTGGCGAGCTGCGAAGCAGATGCGAGCCTATGTAATACCAATTTCCGTCCGTCTGTCCGGGCGCCCGTCCGTCCGGGCGTCCGTCCGTCCGGCCGTCCGCGTTCAGATAAAAATGTTGAAGTTTTTGGTTCTAGTTAACTTGGGGAAAAAAATTAAATGCAGTTGTCAGGTATCATCTCTAGGCCTATAACTTCAGTTAGGTTCATATCATTGCAGTAAATTTTATGATTTTATTGAGGAACTTTAATTCAAGGAAATGGTAAAGTTTTTAATTGTTACATGTACACGTATACTGGTATAACATGTACATGTGTGTATACCGGTATAACATGTACATGTACACTATGCATTTTGGGGATGTGCATGAGCTTCTGGTTTGATCTTTTAGTTTTATGGGGTTGGAGTAGGGATGGGGTAGGGGAGGGTGGGGTGGGGTGGGGTGGGGGATAGGGTTGGAGTTAGGGTTTAAGTGAGTAGGATGAGTAGGGGAGCTAGGATGGGCGGGGCGGGGCGGGGTGGGGTGGGGTGGGGATAGGAGAGGGGTTGGAATACTGGGTTTGGGTGGGGTGGGGATTTGTAGGGGTGGGGTGGGAACAGGTAGGGAGAGACAGGTAGGGGGAGACAGGTAGGGAGAGGATGGGCATGGATGAAGGGGTTGGGTTAGGAGGGGGTTGGGCAGGGGGCGGGATATAGGATCGGAGTAGGGGTTGGGTTGGGGATGTGTAGGGATGGGTTGTAGGGGTTGGATAAAGGGAGGGGGCAGTATATAGGGATCAGAGTAGGGGTTGCATGGGGTCAGGTGGGGATGTATGGGTGGGGGAATGGGGTGGGCGGGATATTGGAATCGAGTAAGGGTTAGGGTGGGGATGTGTAGAAGTGGGTAAGGACAGATAGGGGAAGATAGGGTAGGTGGGTGTAGGGGGTTGGGGTTGGGGAGGGTACGGGTCAGGGGAGGGGGAAGGAGATAGGGATTGGAGTTTGGGTGGGGTTTGGATGTGTAGGTGATAGGGTGGGGATGATTAGGGGAGGATGGAATGGGTGTGGGTAGGGGGTGGGTGGGGGGGGGGGGGTGGGGATGGGGTAAGGTTTGGGGGAGGTGGTGATGGTGCTGTGTCTACATGTACATGTATACCCATTCTTGTTCTGCATTTGTGGCGACTACACAAGAGTTTTCCCATGGTAATACAAGTATGGGGAGCAGAAGACACTGTTGGGGATGCAAAAATCCACAACTGGGTCCTAATTACTCTAACAATGGAAAACTCCCCCATAATACAGTGACGGCTAACCTATATTCACATGTATTTATTAGGTAATCTGTTGACTTTTTATGTTGACATTTAAAAACTGACCCCTACACCTAGGCACATCAACAAGAATCCTGATCCCCTTCCATCATGCCCATCCCCAACCCTACCTTCAGCCTCCCTTCCTGCCTTGGACAGCGAGCCATGGCGGCTTCGCCGTTCTAGTTTCTAGTTTGGGTGTATGTAACTCTCCTTAAATAAAGCCTACATTTTGAGTTACTTTTGCGCACTGACAGATCTGCTCGGTCAGTGCTGATTCCTGGTCCCCATTATCAATTCCAATAGGGAGGTGGGAACCAGTCTACCCTTCGAGAACTATATTATTGTTTGACCACAAATAATTCCTAGATTGTAAAGTAATTATTACATTCATAAGTGCTTGATTGTTGATTATCTTTCTGTTTCCCTTAGGTAACACGAGGAAAGGCTATTGTGCAGAAAGCAACCATATCTCAGGTAATGTCTTTTTCGAAAATTCTTGAATTACTACATGTTCATTGCCTCTAAATTTTACAGAAAATTTTATTTGTTTACATACAGGGTGTATCCAAAAAAAGTTACTCCAAAAATAATGGGTTAATATGTCAAACTTATGAATTTGAACACTGTCAAAGTGGCTCCATCTGAAAGGGTTGGTCATTAGGTGCCCACATTGTTGCAAGAAAATCACGAGCAGAGCATAATACTCCCATTTTGGTGTCTACAGTGATAGCGCATTCTTCTGACGGTTAATCTTACCACTTATTCAACAAACTTGGAAAAAGAGTTGTTTTGGCCTTTGTTTTACAATCAGTGGTGCTCAGTCAACCAGAATGAAGATAAATGAAAGCTGATGAACCATCCTTTTAGATGGAGTCACTTTGACATTGTACAATTTCCTAACTTTTCCATATTAACGCATTGTTTTCAGATTATCTTCTTTTTTTTAACACACCCTGTATATTTCAAAATGAATTACATATTATTGCCTGGTGGGTATATTGCAAGAAAATAACTTTTAAAAGTAGGCGCAGTATGTGTGTACCTTAATATGATAATTTTAGACCTGTGTGTCCAAAATTTGTCGGTTGCACCACGAAGTGACGTGTCATGTGCACAAAGTCCATAGACGATACGTCACTTCGTGGTACACCCGACGAATTAATGTACTCTGAAACAGTATGTTAGGGTGCTTTTGCCATTGACCACTTTCCCAGTGCTTTATGTACATGCACTTCCAGTGTTGTTTGCATTGCTCAAGTTTGATATCCCTCAACTTCACATCTCCAGTCACCCGAAAACTCAACAACTCACAATCTTCTTTGTTGTAATCTGTAGTGTAATTTATTGTTTAGAAACAGACTTGCTAACTTATAAGTTAATAGTTAGTCTCAGGATAATGATACTCCAAGTATTGCATTTGTTATCTTTACAGACATATGGAACCAGCAATGTGTTGGCCAATGCACGCAACTGGGACGTTACCATCCATTTCATTGACAGTATCCTTGGCTGCTGTTATTCACAGTAAAAGCAAATCATTGCATAGGGATTACGCTCATATCCTTGTGAGGAACGCTTTTGTTAGAATCAATAACTCTTTCCTATGCTGAAGTATGTTACATGTACACAGACCCTGAATTATAGGCATCTGTCATCAATCCTATCATATGATGCAGCCTGTAACTCACAATGTTTGAAATCTGTACTGATGTGGGCGGCATTGGCATATCTGGCTTAAACACACTCAGAGAGCAAGATCTCGATGTAAACCTTGGGTGGTTTCTGACTAAAATTTTATACACATGAGTCCATTGATGATTTAGAACCACATGCGCAACATTCTTTGGGTTTTTAGGGGGGGGGTGATGGAAATGGATTTGATGTGTATGATGAACACATATTGTGTTATTAACCTTAACCTTTTTAAAATAGCTGTCTTGAAGTATATAAACAAGGAGAAGCAAAAGATGAGAGATGCTGGAGTCAGCTTGCCACAGGTGAGGAAGATAAATCCAAATACATGTACTGTAAAAAATCTGATGTAGATGTGGTTCATGTGTTATTTAATCTGTTTGCACTACAAAGCAAGCGGTCATGGGTTCAGGTCCCACCCAAGTAAGCTTGTCAAGTTTTTCAGATCTCCATTGTGCCCTTCACCGACGCGTATATTTATAGGACCCAAGTAAGCTTGTGATTTTTTTCTCACAAGTCCTTGGAGAACACTGACTATACAGTGTTAGAAAATGCAGTGGCGCACCCAAGGGGGGACTCGGGGGGGGGGGGGGGGGGGGCTTGAGCCCCCCCCAAGAGGTTGTCAATTTTTTTTTTAAATTTGGGAGTAATTTTTTTTTTTTTTAGTCCCACGATTTGACCTCGGTGATATGTATGTGGCCTATTTTCGAGTAGTATAATAGGGGGGTAAGTGGTGCCACCAACGTCAAAATACCCCCCCCCCCAAAAAAAAAAATGCATCAGTGAAGAGCAAAACCCAATATTGAAATGTCAACCATACTAACATTATGTCTTGGAAATTGTTGCCATATTGGTGACTTTTCATTGATTTGTTTTTAGACGCAAAATCAGGGAAAGAAAGACACGGCAAACCCGTCTAAAGGTATGTTTGACTCTTATTCCTATGATCTTCTGAAATGGTTAATTTAGAAACAGAAATAGGATGTAAACTATTGAAAGAAGTTTGTTTCCAAGTTTACGTAGGAGCCATGTTATTTATTGATCACTGTAACTGTAAGTGGGTTAGAATTTCAGCTGTGTGGAAATGACTATTTTTAATTTGAGTGTAATTTTTTCTGGGACTATTGCTATTTTCCATCTGCAGAGAGGAAGTTATCCAAGCCATCTCTTAAGGTGGAGGATGCATCAGGGTAAGTGGTCCTTTCATGATTTATATGTGTTGACATCAATATGTCTACAGAAATGTTGGATCAAATGCTTTGGTATTATCCTGACCAGTGTGTTTATTCATTCCTTGATCTTTTAAAGACCCAGAGTGTCATAATCATGTAACGCAAGGTACCTGGGTGCACTGGATGTGAAATCAAGTATACATGCTGGCGGTGCATCTGAACTCACAGATCAAACTAAAATGGTCAAACATGGCACGGTTGATTGAACCAAACCAAACTTAGTTTTACAGTTTGTCACGTTTAGCAAAAGCTGAATTGTTGACTGTAACCTATGCGCAGTGAATATGAACTTGAAGGTTGCATTGTTCTTATTTGTTGATGAAATGAAAATATGAATACATCAGTTGCATCAACATCTTTAAAAAGGTATCACAACCAATTTCTTGTTTTCAGAATTTTGCTATGGTTGCGAAAATCTAGCACATTACCGTCGTCACTAGCAACAAAATCATAAAATTTAGGATTGAAAATTAATAGGACTGCTGCAAACTGCTTACTGACTGGATGGACCTGAAATATACAAATCTAAAAAATTAATGCGGCCTGACGTTGCGAACTTAATAAGTCCTTCAAAAGCAAAATTTAGGATTCTGAGAAATGTACAGTTGTGAGAAATGACCACCTGCGGGTAGGACCAGTTATATTTTTAACTGAAAGGATGCTAAGTTCTGCATCAGCATCAAAGGTAATTTACTTTAAAAATGGTTTTGAGTGAAAAAAGACTGCGGAATGAGGTAATTTCTTAAGAAATCAGTAGAGTCTTCTCCTCTGCATAATAGGTCCAGATAGTTCCACAGTGAAGACATTGTCTACTTGATTCACTGGCCATTCGTAGATCTTTCTTTGGCTCGTAAATGCTTTCAATTTGTTAAAAAATGTAATTAAGTATTAATTTATGGGAATTGGTACACGTATCAGCTGTTTTACATTTACAGTGGATGGAAAACAACGCAAGTAAATTCCTACAGTGTGGTTCTAAGACTGAAGCAAACACATATTGCCTCACCTTATAATTGTTATTATTTAGATAAGATCAAAATGCTCTTCCTACTCATCCATGAGATTTTACTAGTATCAAATGGATTTATTAACTTGGTAGTTCACAGTATGAATGATGTCATTATTTTGTTGACAATTTGCAGCCATTACCGGCCATCTACTAAGGAGATGACATCGTGGCCTCGAGTGACATTTGATGGATATGCCAGTAGCTGTCCATTTGATGTCCTAGTTCCTGGAGACAAGGCTGATAAGAGGACTGTGAATACACATGAACAGGGAGCTCAGGCTAGAGCTGATCAGCAGAGAAGACAGAAAGACCGTGTGGATACGCCGAGGTTAGTCAGTTAATATCAGGTATTCTCTGCATGTCATGTCCAGGGTGCTAATATATATAAATAAGGGATTATCAGAAATGATGGATAAACTGGATAAGTATGGGGCTGGGTGAAATTTGCTATTTACATCATCATCATGTGTGGTTATATCACCAGGCCCATGTACTACATCTTTGCATTATTATATGAGATACACATTGTTGATGGTGTGGCGGACAGGATATCCATGCAAAGTGGTGACTTAATGGGCTACATTTCCCAAGCCACATACGTCTCCTGCACCGACATCACTTGTAATGGTCCCCACTCTCCGTGGATCACTGCACTTGTTCATCACACAAAAAGCTCTTACTCTCTGCTGGCAGTTACTTGCCCACGATCGTTGCTTACACCTACCAAACACTGCTGTCAAACTGAGTTTCTTGGAGATAATTGTTACAAATGTCAGAAATCTGTCTACATGAATTGAAGGTTGCTCATTGGAATTCCTTCCAGCACACTTGTAATCAATTAAGACTACTGTTATGCATTGTAATTAGCAAGCCCTTGCTTCAAAGTATGAGAAATTCCAGATTTTTGTCCGAAATCAGATTCTTGAATCTCAGATTTTAAAATAATGTTGTATAGAGAGACCTCACTGATAGAAAAAACTAATTTAAGAAGTATTGCACCTTGTCCAACTTTCGGACCTATGAAATTCCTTTTCTTCCAAACTACATTATGGTAATCATTTGTGTGGTCATATTCAATTAGAGTTGCTGCAAGGAAGCAGATACAAGTGCCTACCCCAGGCAGACAACGAGATGTAGGTGTCAAGGATACTAGGAAGGGCTACTGTGAGTGCTGTCTGACAAAGTATGCAGATCTAGAAAAGGTCAGTTTTATCTGCTAGCTCAGGGTTTGACTTAAGCAGTAGCCTGCTAGCCAACTGCTAGTCAAAGCAGGGACGGGCTAGTCAAACTATTCCTTAAGTAGCCCGGCTGGCGAGTCAAACATAACTGGGCTACGGCAAAGATGAAAGGACAGGAAGAAAAAAATCATTACATTCAGAAAGCAAACCTGTATCAATTTGTGTCAAATTTTATTAACTGTTAAATGTTAAATTATTAGATCTGTTTTATCAAAAACACTGACAAGATTGCCTCAGGATACACATTTTACATGTACGTACATTGTTGTTTATGTGACACTGTTTAAAAGAAAAACATGAGGGCTAGTGAAAATGCCCGCGGGCTAGTTAAGAGTCCGTTTCAGTAGCCCGGCTAGCTAGCTTGTGAAACAAAAATTAAGGTTGAACCCTGCTTACTAGCTAGGCAATTCCAAACATCCTGAAGGTCTTATGTCTAAAGTGGACACACAGCAGAAAAAGTGAAAATAGACTTAGGATTTTTGGAGTATAATTTGAAGATCTTGTTGTAATATATAACCTTTCATCCAGCACCTTGCCGGGGAACAACACAGAAGCTTTGTGCGAGAGAATAACCATTATGTGAACCTGGACCTGATGATTGATGAAGGACCTAACATGGATCAGTTTCTGGAGGATGTCGTGCAGCACCATGAATGGCAGAAACTAGAAGGAATTCGGTAAGAAACTATATCATGATATGTTGTGCTTCTTCGGTATTCATCATATTCAGGGAGTTCACATCGTATTCCTACTTTTTGTCCATTCCACTGTACCAGACTTTGTGCTTCAATGTGCACTTAGCAAGGAATTTGTGCGCATAGCTAGATAGCCAGGAGTGTGTGCACATAGATGGCAAGGAATTGGTGTGACTAGTTTTAAACCGAGATGTGCCCAAACCTATCTATTTCTTAATGTTAGACACAACTTGAGATTGGTCACATGACAGGAACGGCACAAGTATCCTTCAATAGTACTGCACTCTTTTGTCATTTTGCTGCTGAGGTATTTGATCTCAGAGTTCAGACACTTTAGCTTGAGATTATACCCAAGAAGTCATTTTTGTGATTTAGTTTTTTATTTGCTTTTGACGTTAAGCTTCAATACAGACTTGTCTCCTATGGTAAAGGCTGGCCTGGCAAGTGCTGCATTAAGCAAAATTAATAATCTAAATATATTTCAGTTCAAATTAATTCTTTATTATCCACGTTGAAAATAGCATAGCTTAATTCTCAATATAAAAGTCTTATTAATTTCATTTTTTGAATTGAAGTGGTCAGGGTCAGGCCCTAGAAGCAATGTACTGGGTGAGTCAAAAAGAAAGTGACCGAATTAGAAAAAATATTTCAAAAAACATGTGGCTTGCTCCATTTCATAAAAATGAAGTACATGCTATTGACTAGTAACTGTGAAAATGTCACATAATTTGCATAATCTTTTCTCAACTTTTTTCTATTTTAATAAAAAGATCACAAAATTCAGCTGTCCACCACTGATCATTTATCATCCTTTGAACTGATGAATACCTATTTAAATACAATGAAACATAGACGTTTTCCCATCTCCATGAATGAACGAAAACTTGCAAAAGGAAAACAGACAAACTTGCCATCAATATTTCAGAAACAAAAGAGTTGACTTGTTCCTCATATTCAAAACACAAGATCTGACAGTAAAAATGATGTTTCACGCTTGACTCACTTGATTAAAATCTCATTTGTATTTGAATGCCTGTGTGTAATTTGTAATTCTCACTCGGCTCAATAGCTTCCAATGGCATTCCATGGACAGCTATAAAGATGGGTTCTTTTAGTAAAACATGCATAACTTTTGATAGCGTGGATCAATATCAGTAATTCTTTTTCTTTTCAGATGAGTGGAAGAACATGCTCCTTTTAAGACAAACTTCTTTAAGGGAAAAAACGATTAATCCAAGACACTTTCTTTTTGACTTGCCCTGTATATACTGTTTCTAGCATGTAGATATATATTCCAAATTGTTTCCCACATGCTGTATGTATGAAACTAAATGAAACTACATTAGTTAATTGCTTTAGAACGTATTGATAACTGATTATTTTGCAATTCCTTTTTTCTTAGGGGAACGGAAGTCATTGATGAAGTTGCATTGATTTCATCACCGGGCAATGCCAAGAAAAGGAAGACATGTCCTGTGCCTGCTAGCAAATTTAATCAACAAGAGGCAGAATCACAGGATACAGATCCATGCAGATCAGGAATAAAGACTTCTAGCAATGACAACACTCAGGAAAGGCCAGCTAAGGATAATGTATCTCCTCAACATCTTGAATCCACATACAGTGTAGATCAGTCTGCCTCTTGTGGAGTGTCTCCATTGAGAAGGTCTTTAAGATTACAAGCTCCTGCTGTTGAGAGTAGTCCCACTGCAGTTAGTAATCCAAATAATGAGAGGGTAACGTCTGTACCAGGTGCCGTATCCAACAAGCATGTGACTGCAGACAATCAGCCAAGTGGTGTCCAAGGGGAGAACATTGTACGTGAGTCTGCAAGCAATGACAAAAGATTGAGAGACAAATTACACTCGGGGAATTCTGGCAGTAGTCAGAGTCCCCCATTGAGGCATTCAAGAAGGCCGAGGAGCCAAAGTCAAGGAACTCTATCATCAACACCTACAAGCAATCCACAGGTTACATTAGCAGAACCTTACCATTCGCCTTGTGAGTTGATAGATAAAAGCTTAACTAGAGGAGTACCTGACTTGTCTGATTCCCCTGAGCCTGAGAGAACTCGCAAGAGGCGGACTTCCAAACTCTCCCTGTCTGCAAGGAGGCAATCACAAAAGCAAGCGAATACTCCAACTGAAGTGGTATCAGCTGATAAAGAATCTTGTGAGCAGCCTGCTAACCAGAGTAGAGTACAGGAAAGTGACCAAGTATTTGCACATACACCCAGTGGTACTGGCAAAAGAGAAAGGTCTCTTCGCCTGTCACTGACTGCGAGAAAGCGGCTCTTAAAGAGAAAAGAGTTGGAATATTCACAGCAAGCTTCAGATATACACAGCAAAGCACATGAAGGCACTTTCACTGGTGAAAAAGATTCCAACCTTCGTCAGAGTCAAAGAACCTCAGCAGACCCTAAGCACAGGTTGGAGGCTGATGCAAACACACATGGAATCGATGCCTTGACAAGCTCTTCTAAGAATCCTCAACAACATGGATCACAGCAAACAAGTACTTCTGTGCCAAGATCATCAAAAAGGAAGAGGGAATCAAATGATAAATACGCTAGCAAGAATCCAAAGCGTAGAATTACAGATACACAGTACCAAACGCACGTGAGCCATAAAGAGAGAGAAAAATTGGCAGGAAAAATATCACAGCAATCCAGGACTATTGAAAAGAATGTCCCCACAAATGTAGAGGGATCTCCTGGGCAGAGGACAAGCCAAGATGTTTTCAAAGAAAACAAAAAACAAGTTCCCAACCAAATTGGTTGTGAACTATCAACTCGGCAACCAAACTTAGAGTCCATCTTTAACAGTGATCCAACTGTGGTAGAGTCAAGTTTCCTAGGATTTGCGAGTGATGATATTACTGAGACAGAACAGCGTTTACAGCAGCTGAGTGCTTTGTCGACCTCATATACCAGTAAACTTCAGGAAGCTGCCCTTAATGTCTGCTGTATACCTTCCTCGGAGCTTAACATACCAGAAGACGATGATTCTGGCAGTAACTCCTCAGACATGAGTGAAATACAAGAGGTGGTGGTAGGGATGGCTCTCAGAAACCTTGCTAACTTCCCTTCTGATGGATCCGATTGGGAAGCTAAGGTAGGGGGATTCATGTCAGTCAGACTGGATGAAGCCATGCAGGTCAAGCAGAAAGAATCATTCTTGACACAAGTTTGTATGCAAGAAAAGGAAAACATGAAGGGGAACAACTACCAAGAAATCCTGCACAATTCTGGCAAAGGGGCAGAACAAGCAAACATGACTAAACAAACAACAATCAAGATCAAGTCTGTCACTCCAACAGACAAGTCTGGGCCAAAGGAACCAGAGATAAGATTGGCATCAGCAGATGCCAGAGCTCCTCAACCAAGGCGCGTGCTCAACTATGAATCCAATCACGCAGGAAGGTCCAAGAGAAAGAAGTCTAACTTAGAGAATCAGGCAAGCAAACCTCGGTCTTCCCTTGCCCTCGTTTCAACAAATCCAGGATTATCATCTTCACCAGTGAAGTCTCCGAAGCTTGTCTGTAGCACTCCCAAAAAGACAAAGAAGACTCCAAGTCCTAACAAGTACAAACTGGTGTTTTCACCAGAAACACCAAAGGAGGAAAGGGAGATCATTCTTGAACATTACGTGCATGATGTCTCTGAAGAGGAAATTGATTTCCCCAAATTCTCAAGTCCTCGGCAATCAAATGTCATACTCTCTCCTATCAAAAACTTCGCTAAGAGTATCTCCAAGAAATCTTGCAGTCAATCTCCTTACAAATTGAAGGCCTCAAGAGGACTGAGAGAGCTACCTCCAAGGAGATCTCTGTTTCGTAGGAGGCGACATTCCACATCATCTATGCCAGGTAGAGTCTTCCATTTTCTATTGAGTCCACCAGGTTCTCCTAGGAAGAGAGATCCTCCAGTTCCCTCCTCGCCTCTCAAATTGAGTTCTGCCAACCCTAGTCACTCATTTGTTACTCAGCTGGGAGACTCATCACATCAGATCACTTACCTTCCAGCCAATGAGCACCACAAAGTCTCGCCCATCTTTTGCACTAGCTCCAAACCCAATTTCTCTTCACACATCCTTCATCCCGGGAACAAAAAGAGACGCAGTGACAGGCTAAGGAGACCAAGTAGTAGTCAACCTGTGGCAGGTAACTGCACTTTGGATCATCCACCTGCCAAATCATGGTCTCTCTGTGTAGCCTTTGATGATGACATTTGTTGCAGTGAAGATGTACGTGTATATGACTTTGTAGATGATAAAGAAGGCAAGGCAGAGACTAGTACTGACCGATCAAGTCAAACACACAAGGTTACCTGTCATAACAAGAAGTCCCCAACAAAGTCCAAGTCTAACTGTACTACAAATCAGAAGACACAGAATCCTTCAGAGCAGGTTGTACAAGAATTTGGTCTGCCTTATTCATTTTTTAGGTGAGGTTTTCAAACCATTTGTACTGATTATTTAAATACAAGAATTACGGGTTAATCACATTTAATATGCATGGATACATTGTTACAAATGTGTTGCTCAATATTTCCAGTTGTGTTGGCTTGATCTTCTAATGGTATGGCAGGAAGATGTTGGTATTCATGATTGCGAGACCTTAGAGGATGACTATTTGATGACCCTTTTGGGTAGTAATCACGAGAAAAACCTATGTTGCCATGGTGACATGCCTTATTTCCTTTGGATGCCTCATGTCATCATATGTAATAATCATTCATATTACTAGAGCTTTAAATTCAGAGATTGATATTCAAAGAAGTACAGTCTCAGAGGTCAAACATACAAGAAAAATATATCCAAAAACGAAGCATTACATCCATCATCTGTACGCCGAAGTAAATTGAAAAACTTGATACTTGTCTTCATCACTATTAAGTGAACATAAAATGTGATCAAGATTTTTTATTATTTTGAAGGAAAAAAATATGTACCCAAACAGTATAGCACAAGTACATGTATTCATTTACAAGTCCTACTTGACAAATGAATGAATGATAAGGCTTTAAATTTGTCAAAACCTTTTTTAACGTTTATTCATTTTGTGAAGATGATAGTTAATATGGTAATATTGGTATTCACGTTATCATTTAATGAAACAAAGTGATTCACATGAAATTGTTGTCCCTTTCTGACAAGCTTCTTCTAAACTTCATCTTCTAAACCCTCATATGAAGAGACTTGGCCACAATAAAACAGTTACACATTTCAAAACATAAGCATATTTCTGAAAATCAGTGTTCTAGCTCTACGCTTGGTAATTTGTGTCATGATGAGTAAAAGTACTGCCTTCATTTATTCATCATGAGGTTTTAATTGACATGGGTGTAATTGATGATAAACATCTGACAATGTGTATTTAAACAAAACATATTTATGAAGGAGATATATGATGAAAATTGTCCTCAAAGGGGAAGGGGAAGCATTGAAAGTAAATGTACAGTGAATATATGTATGAAAAAATGGCAAAGGCAATGCCAAAAAAAGAGGCCCATTATAAGTACAACTTTTCCTCAAAAACAACTTATTTGTTTCGAAGGTCTTATGATTTTATTTTGAGTTTATTCCTTTCAAAATAAATTGAAGCCCTAAGTAATACAGCATTGTTCAAATTGTTTTTGTGTATGATTTTGATATGAAATATTCAGAACTAAACAATGTATTTTGGGGCTTAGATATGAGGTAGAGTGTAGTCTATAGATTCCTTCTCTCTATTCTGTCTTTGTTATCCTGGTTCCAAATCACATTCCGGTGAAATGTATAATTGTATGTCATGTTTTTTAATGATGTGGCATTAAAAATTCATCATTATGCTCCAACTTGTTCAGTTGGAATTAATTAATTAAACAAGTAAAGCTGTGTCCTGCTTTTGTCCATACTTACCGTTTATACCAAATCAGCTTGATGTTATTTGGTGAGTGTAGTTGCATTTGAAAAAAAAACACGGTAACCCAAACAAGTTTTTGTTTCTTCAATTGCTACCTGACTTATTTAGCCATGAGCATTTTTGTTTGAAATGTGGGTAGCAAAGTCTTCTTTACCCTAGCAAAAAACCAAAAAGTGTTCACTTTGACTTTGATTCCTTTCCTTCAATGTGCACATTTTAAGTAAATATTTCTTAAACTGTTAAAAAAAAGACTTGTTACATCAGGTTTCAGTTGAAAACAACTTTGGTGTTAGTAATTTGTCTCTTATTTACAGTACTGTTAAATCTTTCAGGGTGCAGATTTCATTAAGTTGTATGTACTTGGCATGACACAAACAAGACATTGAAGTTGTGATATCTTCTTATTCTGTGACTAAATCTCAGGTTGCAGTTCATACATACTTTCATGTTTTTCATGTAAAAAAATTCAAATAGCAAATAAGTGCCTTTTTGTGATTACATTTTAACATTTTTTTTACTGATGGAGAAATAGTTGTCCTTATTTCTGTATGTGCTACATGAGCGCTGTGTTTATAGTTCTTAATCTTCCTCAGGTAGTCGGTGTTTCTTTTTATGTACCATATTATATCTTTTAAAGTGGATTTTATTAAAAATCAGATAACTGATTTTAGTCTCCATGAGTTATTCATTATGGGTGTTTGCGTCTGTCTTGTAAAATTGATCCTGTGGCATCTTACCCACGAAAGAGTCTCTGATATCCTTGCAATGTCAAACCATTTGTAGAACTCGCCATATAATTATTTGACCTAATGTCCTTATAATTAAGCTTCATAAGCTTACTTTACCCCATACTGTACTTCACAAAACTGTACTAGTTCTGCTTGATGGTGGGGCTGGAGCTCATTCACTAGAACTTCTAAATTTGGGGCTTTTTAAGGCATATAGGACCATTTACTTTTCATGCATTTTGTGCATTTCCAATAATAACACCACTCAAAATCCAAGTATGTTCAAAACCTAACCTGTTGAAGTTTCAGCTTGATGGATATTACACATTTTGAGAAAACAGTGAAAAACAATGCACAACCTTTTGATCACGAAATACAATTTTGTCTAAGCGCTCTTCATTCCAACTGGCAGTCAATTGACCGATTGTTTGAAATCACCTGCATTTCTTGATTTATTTTAAATAACAGCAAGAGCAAGCTGGAAGGAATCATTTCAGTCGGCTTTTTGATCATCGGTAGGTTTCTTTTGGGATAAATGATCATCCTGTAGGCCTATACCTTTAAGTTCTTACTGTCTGTATATCCTAAATGCAGTTTGTGAAATTCATCAGATATTTTGTGCAAAGTGTTGTGCAAATGTTTTAAGTTTCGGGAGTTCTGGAAATTCCAATGATTCCCAAGGCATCTTGCTCTTCCACTGTTTTTATATAATGATCTGCCTTTTTTAGAATTCTGAAGCCCCACCCACAACACGTAAATGTGTCATCACCGCTGCCACAATTCTCCAGTAAGCTTTATACTAAAAAGAAAACAAATACAGAATGTAATACAATCATTATGCTTTTTAAACAAACAATACTTCCACATCTGAGTCATTCGACACCGCCTTCCCTTCCCAGCCGCCAAAACAAGGGGAAAACTACATAGTTATGATATGATAGTCATAGTGTTGGAATTCCATACCTTGGAATTCTTTCATACCTTGGAATTAGTACAAAGAAATAACCGTGTACATTTTCCTATATATTTCAGAATTTTCGTTTCTCCATGTTGTTTGTTTAATTGTCATCATTCCCATTCAGCCCGTTTCGGCGGCGCGGCACATCACATCACACCACACCCCGCCTTCAAGAAATCTGGCCGTTGTGGGCGCCCTTTCTCACTGCAAAAAGCTATCTTTGAAAAAGCTCACTCACTGCACTTCAATTTTTTTTTACATGTACATTGTATGTGTGATGCGGGAACACTCTGGCTGCAGTGCTAGTGCTACATGCATGCTGTAGTGGTAGTAGGCCGAATCGATGTAGTATTGTACGTATCTCTACGACTACGAGATCTGATGCAAGTGAAGAAAGCCTTGTCTTCTCGCTCAATTTCCCAACATTTAGGCTTCCTTTGTTGAAGAGCAAAATGGGAAAAGGCGCTCTCTAACACTACAGTTGACCACATGTACAGAAAGAATTTGAGACAAAACTGGTTGTTTTGCAGCGAATGCAGCACCGACGACTCGTACGAGTGTAAGTATTTCGCATGGCGATAGTGTAGTGTAGGGCCCCTGCTTTGTTTTGATGAAATTAGGGTAATCCTTACTTTTAGGACACCTCTATTTTGTATGAGTTCTGTTCAAAACCGACTTTTGCAGATGACTGTCCAATACCAAAATGACTTTTACAGGCTAAAGAAGTCTTTTTTCTTCAGACAAAGTCATGTTAGTTGTAATTTTGAAAGCACTTTCAAAGAAAATGTGACTTTCCTACCTTTTTTTGCGGTTCGCCATCTTGCTTTTTTAATATATTTTCTGTTTGTCATCGTCGTCTTTAAATCAAAGCCCTGCCCTCTTTCTTCAAAATTAAACCTGCTGATATTCAAGTGGTGTCATTGCCAAATGTTCAAATGTGCCAAGAAATATCAGAGTGTCACTTTTGAGTGTCATTTAGTCAGCTGTTTTGGTGAGTCTTTTAACCTTATATAGAAAAGGGGTCCTAAAGGTAATGATTACCGAAATTAGAGTCAATAATGTTTTTTTATTGCTCAAAAGTCACCCAAGGGCGGATCCAGAACAATCGGGGATCCAGAACGGATTCCCGAAAAAAATTAGGATTCTAGATGCTCTGTTGTGCGATCTGAGGCAATTTCTGACCACTTTAACCAATTTTTTTTGAGGGAAAAGATGGTGGTGTACTCATTGCCTGCCTTTATTTGCGATGTTGTCACATTAAAAAAAAAAAAAATTGGTTTCGCTTTTGGGGGGGGGGGGGGGGCATGGCCCCCTTTGGCCCCCCCCCTGGATCCGCCCTTGAAGTCACCTTTACAATCAAAAGCAGACTTTTCTCAATTCTACTGACGCCCGTTTTGCAATTTTGAACAGTTTCTTGGGGTATCCTCGATCCTCCTATTTCTGCGCAGATATGGCTTTGCAACCAAGTACCTTACAAATAGCGGCACAATTGCAGAATACCCCGCCACTCGATCTATCCACCTCGTAGCCGGCTACGGAGTCACGGTTGATTGCCCTCAATAAACCTTCTCAGCGCTAATAATGTACTATGCGTCATGCTCCACTGCACTCCCACTCCGTAGCCGCTTAGCCGCCAACAGGGTGGTTGGTTTGGACTTAAACATTTTTCAGCAACTCCCAATCCTTTTGTGTTGCTTCGTTCTCAAATAATGGACCCCCACTCAGTATCCGCGTAGCTGGCATGGACTTGAATTGTTTCTTTTCCAGTGATTCCAACCTCGTAGCCAGAGAATTTAGGGGTGTATTTCCGAGTGGCGGGGTATTCTGCAATTACTCCAAAATAGCAAAGCAACCACTCTTTTTCTCAACAAAACTTATATTGTTGGCTTACCATCATCCACCGTACAGATTAATAAAGCAAAATCTCTTTATTTGTGGCAGCAAGCGGGGAATTCCAAAGCGTGCAGTTTTGGCGTTGTAGAAAATAATCCTGCCTAATTCTGCGCAGGGGACGCTTCATGAAAAATACGTGCTGTCTGGGCCATGTAACTCAATAAAAACATTTTTTTTAATAACTTAGACTTGTTGGCTTTAGGAAAATATATTTTCTGAGCTTTTCAAACAAATTTTCTTTCTTTTTCCTTTCTTTTTTTCAATGCCAATACAATTTTCGTAATTTCAAGACTATTTTCAATATCCTATTTTTGAGATTTATACAAGGGCTTAAATTTACATATTTATATAAATACCCCCGGTACATTTTATACATATTTACCTATTAAATGTAGATCCCAATGATATTGTTATTCTGATCATCCCAATCAATGGAGACAGTTTTTAAGATGTCGGATTTTAAAACTTATAACCCCAAAAATTCCCAAAAATATTAAAATTGTGTCTTTTTAGTTGCACCGTAAGTTTTACACCCTCGTAGAAACTGCAAATTATTATCTGTGACATCTTAACTATAATACTGACGATATTGGGAGACCAAGAAAGGTCACCTTTTGGTCATATTTTCGACTTCTGCAGGCCCGGAAGCATCTGCCTGCGTTTGTACTTATGTAAAAAGCCGATGTTTTTCATATTGCGCCTGAATTCCCGGTAAAGCCTTCAATTTCGAATTTTTTTTCGGCTTCTGGTTAAAGTTAGTGCATCAAAGCATACGATCCCAGTGAAAGTTTTTCATTTTTTAGGATGCATGCCTTGCAAAATATAACTTAGTTGCGAGTGCCCAGAAATAGGAGCGTGTAGCTTTAGGAGGTCTGATGATAGAAATCACGATTTTCCTGCGCGGTTTTATTTTGGGGTTGCGTGGTGTCGCCGTGCTGTCATCGTCATTTTCCCCCCAAATTTCCCTCAAAAAATCAAAATCCTGCCCTCGATCTATGACATAGCTGTTTGTTGAGAATGTTGCCAACTAGTTTTGTCAGTCTAATAATTTAAAGTGGATTTTGTTCCTTTAATTAGGAACTGGGCCCTACACTACACGATCGCCGTACTATTAATCATGTAGTTAAGGACCTAGTCCGAGTAACTTGGACCCAACTTATCGCCTTTTTAACATTCGGACATGGTCTGGCGATAGTAGTAGGGTCCAAGCTAATCCTTATATGCCGAGCAACACAATTCTGTCATTGACCCAAAAACCCAACATTGCCTTACAAAAACATTAGATTTCACCCTCAAAACGGCCTCCAAATTACTAGATACGCCACCTGAGGTACAAGTAGACATCGATAATTAAGATGGTTGTACTGAAGTTTACTTACGATCTGGATGAAAAGTGAAATTTCCCGTTCGATTCTGAGAGCTCCCCCTCGCGATCTTGAACACGTTAAATTTCCGACTCGTGTTTGAATTGCGATCGCGATGTGGTCTTCATTCCCAGCGTACATTCGATGGTCCCCGTATCCCGAGTGCGATTCCGTTACCGAGCGCGCGCGATGCATCGATTATGATAATGAGTAGACTGGATTGTTTAGTAAACACAAGTGCATTTCGAACGATAATAGGGAGTCGGGAACTAGGGCAGATTTTATGGACGGAAACCAGTTCAAGCTAGTTCCCGACTCCCTATTATCGTTGCACTTGTGTTTACAAACGTTCTCCAGTCTATCATTATCATAATCGATGCATCAGCGCGCTTGGTAATGGAATCGCACTCGGGATACGGCGACCATCGAATGAACGCTGGGCATGCAGACCACATCGCATCGTTCAAACATTAACACGAGTCGGAAATTTAACATGTTCACAATCGCGAGGGGAGCTCTCGGAATTGAACGGGAAATTTCACTTTTCATCCGGATCGTAAGAACACTTCAGTACCACCATCTTAATTATCGATGTCTACTTGTACCTCAGGTGGCGTATCTAGTAATTTGGAGGCCGTTTTGAGGGTGAAATCTAATGTTTTTGACATTGGGCATTAGCTTGGGCCCTACTATCGCCAGACCATGTCCGAATATTTAAAAGG